GACGTGGCAGCCTTTCCTAGACAGGCATAACGCCAACGCCAGCACCTACATGTCAATGTCAATGTCAACGTCAACGTCAACGTCAACGTCCAGCGTAAATCGTACAGCTGGTATAGTATACCGATACAGCGCCCTCGCCCCCTCCTCGGGCAAGATTTCCCGGCTAGGATCTTGGATGGGCTTGGGTGTGCGGTGAGGCGAGGCTGTGCGCTTGCCTGAGATCCGGGGTTTTGCGGGTGTGGAGGAGGGTTCTTGGGGCGGGGTGATTGGTTGGGTGTGGGTGTGGGTGCGGGTGCGGGTGCGGGTGCGTAGATGTATGTGTTTGTGTTTATATGTGGGGGGAGGGGGGGGGAAGAAGAGAGAAACACGTGGGTGGCATTGATTCGCAAGATATTGGTTGGGTATCTAATTAGTCTATGTGTGTGTATCGACTTCTCTCTTTTTCTTTTTCTTTGATTCTGCTTTCTTGGGGCAAAATATGGATGCCGGGGTTTTTTCACGGGCTCTGGAGTATCCTCTTGTGATGGAATGGCTGGATTCAGGGGTGAGGTATGCGGAAAGGAAAGTCCATGTCCTGGAAAGTAAAAAACTCCATTGTGCATGATGTCGTAAGATTCGTGATGAGGGATATGCGGTCTTGCTGTGATGCTGTCGCTGCAATCGTGGAAGCGCAAGAAAAAAAAATCTTTTCTAGACTTGGTCGTAGTCGCCCAGGACATCTTCTGGGTTCTCGTCTGGGAGCAGGTCAATGGTGTCATTTGTACGTGGTCCAATGTACGTTTTCCTTGCGCCTGCAAACCACCACACCGTACTGAACAGACCGATAAAGGCGGCCACACAAATGGCATAGTTCATGTTGTCTGCCCTGACCGGCTTCACCGTCGGGAAGAAGAGCACGATGCTGATGAAGATGACCCAGGCGACGGCAATTGCGTTGACCGGTTTACTCCATCGTCCCATGGTGTAGGGACCTGGATGGAAGACAACACTGCCTTCGTACCATCGGTGTGCAACAATGACTGCAATGTAGCTTATATCCAAGGCTGGCGCGGTGATGTTGAAAATCGCCGTAATCGTCAGCGTACTCCCGATACCGATCAAGTCGAGGCAGCTGCAAAAGGCTACAACTAGCCAGACCGCATTGACAGGCGTGTGCGTGTACTTGTTGACCTTGCTCCAGAATCTAAACAGAGAGTTGGAAAAAAAAGCGTTAGCCACATGTCCGTGTTCACTCGTGTTCGCGTTGGCCTCTTACTCGGAAAAGGGAAAGGCCCCGTCACGGGAAAATGCCCACGCCATACGCGCGTTCGCCAGCATGGCAGAGCATCCTGTGAAGAACTGGACAAGCATGACGAAGAACCACATGATTGTTCCACCAGTTCGTCCGCCTGCATTGAAGAAGATTTGTGCAACAGGGAGACCGGTTGGTGTGGTCATGATGGATTCGTAGTCTGACATGCAGAAGCAGAAAGTGACAGTCAGCATCCAGCCAGTAACGCCAGAGACCAGGATGGCCGCTCGTATCGCCACAGGGCCACGAATAGCAGCATCGTGAGTTTCTTCCGACATGCTGTGCAACATGGTTAGATTGGTTGGCAGATCTGGCGAGTTCGCGAACTGGACTTACTGCGTTGTGCCATCGTAGTCAGTCATGGTCCACGCCACTGAAAGGAATCTAGACAACTTTAGCACCGTTCTTGAAGCGACGGCTTTGTGGCAACCAACCCCAGGAGAAACGAGAACCCCTTGCTCCCCCAGCCGGAGCCATCCATTACAGTTGTAAATACCCATTGTGCACTTTGCTTGTTCGGTGTGAGAATGAGAAGGGCGATGCATATGCAGATTGATGCAATGACTGCATTAAAGTCAGTCGATAGTAGACACTTCAGTAGGGCTTACTGACTGTTGATAGGAGCAAACCATAGAATGATGCGGTGGAGCCAGTTGGTAGGAAACGAGCAGATGGTGCCAAACATGCAGAGGACGAATATAGCCAATAGCACCGTCTGATGTGCTTTGCTGTGCAGATGTGAGCGCCTTGCCATGGTGGCGAGCGGGGACGACGACAGTCTTACGGTTCGAATGCAGCTTCCGCATCGTGGAGCGTGTGCATGACAACGGTTGCCAATATCATCTGTGATATCGTGTACGCCAGACTTGCAACGCCCGCTGCTTGACCGAGAAAGTTGCACCAACCAATGATCCAGGCCCAGGATGCGACATGCTCTGGCGGAACGACATGCTTTGTGACATAGTACATACCCCCAGCAGTTGGATATGCAGAGACCAGCTCGGCAACTAGACAGCTAATCAGGAATGGTATCCTGATGGGATTGGCAGAACGTACCTGAGCTTGCTATGCAGTAGGCCATGACACTACCAATCAGCCATGCCCACACCGCTGTTGCCGGACCTCCTGAGCTCATGGGAGCTCCAAACGTAGCTGGAACGGAGCCTAGCACGCCGAGAATCGAAATTGCGTACGAGACAGTCGACCATCTTGAGAAGTGTCTTTGGAGCACCTGTATGAAGCGTCAACTTTTTTGCTCAAAAAAAAAGACATTGGTGGCGTATGTCGTACTGGAGTGTAACCAATGCGGACGAGTAGTCGATCATCATCGTCTGCAATTGTTGCCATGGTGCTCTGTTGCTGGTTGTATCCGCCTTTCTCCGTTGCTCTGTCAGTGTTTGAGGTGGGTCGCTGAACTGCGTTCACTTCTATAGCTGATGATCCCGTATCGGGGTGCTTGGAATCTGCACTGGTACCCATGATTAATGATCAACAGCAGAGCATGGGTTGCGTGAGGAATAGGAGAGAAAGAAGAAGAGGACCTCAAGGAAGAGGACGTGATTTGAATATACAGGGACGAAATAGACGATAGTGGGCCGAAACGAAGACTCATCCATGGGACTGACGGGAAACGCTGTTCGACCCACAGACCCAAGCACCAGGGACCTGATCTATGAAGCGGAAATGATAGGTGATCAAGAAGGCAACGCGGGTGAATGGGATAGTCATGTAGGTTTTATGATGACCTGGCTAGGTCAAGCCCAAGTCTGCCACGACATGGCCGATTCCGGTCCAGTAGTCTCATATTACGAGATGCAGACCACCTACCTTCTCCCCGTCACCTAGGGTGGTATTGCCTTAGGCCATGATGACACGTGCTGAGGGTCTCGCTTGGGGGAAAGTACGTGTGAGAATGCAAGCAAGGAGAGTGGGACGACGAGAGGCGCAAAAGTAACGAGTGACGGACAAAGTCTTTTTTCCCCCAAACGCCGGCAGATCCTGGAGGCGACTCGGTACTGTCATTTGCCAAAGAAGCTTGGTGCAAGCTTGGTGCCAAATGTTTTGGACAAAGTAGCGCCGGATGTGCCAAGGGAAGAGGATCCCCCCCGGCGATCCAAAGCAGCGGGCCGTTTACCTTGCATTTCTTCTAACGTTACCATGCGCATTGCAAAGTCGGAGGCAGTAATCGGGTTGCGCATGTGCAGGCACGAGACCATTGCGCCGTGGGCCTGCGAGGTTGACATGCAAGATTGTATCCGCTTTTGATACCTGTGTACCTACATGCAACTGCGCGGGCTTCTTCACGATACCGGTACCGGTACCGGTGGTAGTATGAGACCAAGAGACACGATGCGCGTCTACCATATAATTCTCAAGACGCATGGCAAACAGCCGCGCGCCATGGGAAGCTATGACGCACACCGACAATTCCACTGGCTGATTCTCATGGAACTTTGCAAGCGGTGCGACGCCTTAACACTAGGTAGGTATCGGTGCGGTACCATACTATAGTTTGGCTACGAAAGGATCCCCCTGACCGATTCAGGCGGTGTGTACATGAGCCTCATTGGGCCTTCATCACCTTGCAGTCTCATGAACAGTGGATATCAAGTGAGGCCTCGGGAATATCTGTTGCGAGCTCTCAAGTTGCAATTGATGTGCGAATCTCAGTCTGCAGTCTGGGGGCGATAAATGTGTACCTACTGTGGCTTAACTTGAGCAAGCGAACAACATGGACCCAGGCGCAACATACTGTTTACCATAGTACAGCACATTGAGTAGCCCTTCTGTTTCGAGTTTTTTTACGAAGCTCGGCGGTTTCCAGCGTCTTTGATAGTGGGGCAAAATGACTGCCAAATTCCGCACTGTTCACGTCGGCAGCTTACCGTACCAGAGCAACCATGAAGTCATTCTCGGGTTCCCATAATTAGGTAAGACGCGAACGAAACGAATCACTTATCGCGCGTACTCTGGAAAGTAGGCGACGGCGTCAGCCTTGCCTACAAGGTGGCGCAGGCAAGCAACCAATGTAAGTCTACCACGAGCTCGAATGCATATCATCCCCCATCCTTTCAAGGCTTCTGCTTCAGTCGTTCCATTCAGTCGGTAGGGTACCCCATGCCACCACGAAGAGTCAGCCCTTCCGGATTGACGATCGTGGTTACAGTTTACAGCATCTCAATTGCCAGAATCTAGGTTTTGCGGTCAGCGTGGCTTCGGTGCGGCTGTCCACTGTACGGTACCGGTACGGTACATGTACACAGTAAGCGTCCGGAAGACCGAACGGCCCCCGTTCTGCTGGCTCAGGGCGATGGCAAGGGTTGAAGGCTCAATTTCGAGTTGAGCGGTTGCCCAAAGAGCGGTGGAAGGTCACCATGCCCTCGTGCAGACTAGTCTGCTGTCTCTGCAAAGTGCGATCCCACTTGGTTCGCTTACCGGTATGGTAGGTTGAACATGAAGATGGAATTACTATTTCTGGGCATCACTGGGAATGATCTACTGTAGGCTCTGATCGCAGAGCGAGCTATTTGTGACTCCAGTCATAGTGACCACGTTTCGCCACGGCAAGACACCCAATCTGTACGGTTGAAACAGGATGCCTTGACCCGCCAGAGCAAATCATCGCTTCATTCTTGGGCAGATACGGTACCCTATCCATGTACCGAAGCACGTGCATATGGTACGATGTTCAATGTCCCACACTGACAAGCCGGAGAATTCAAACCGGGTAAACCTTAGCCGATTATCAAGTCACATCCTCCAAGTGCTCGTCCCCGGAGATGGGTACCGTACAATATTGTAGCAGGCGTCTTCACCGCATCGTCCATTGCTGTAACAACAGTCTGGATTCAGCCTCGGTGGGCGTCTAGTACAAGCCACCTGTCTTGATCAATCCTTCGTTTCGACCAGTGTCTATGGTAATGACTCGTAGAGTTGAGTTCACGCCGCATCAGGGGGGCGTCCTTGTGAAGATGGCCGACAAACGGTTTCAACATGGCGCCGAAACGGCCGCACGGCTCCGGGCACGGACCGCTAGGGTCGTCGATCAGTGTCTTACCGTGCTAAGGTACCAAGATGCTGGATGTTCTTCGGATTTTCGAATGCTAACGTCGCACATGGGTAACCGGGCTACTTGCAAAGTCGGAATTTACCAGCTGGTAGACACAGTACCGATACCGGTGCGGGAACCTCCTTGACAAGCACTACCGGTACCGGTCAGAACAAAGTTTGCAGAGCCATGTGTTGTAACATATCTGAGGACATTAAGGTGGGGATATGTGAGGATGTATACTACAGGACAGCTGCGACGTCTCGATCGGTACTTCTCGATCGGTACTATAATCCTCGGTCGATATGGCATGGTGTTTACATTATAGCATTCCAACAGGCCTCACTATAACCGCCGCCTTTTCGTTCACATGCAGCTGCAACCATGTATTCTTACAGCTCAGACAACCCCCCCCCACCGGTTATATGACAAGAGGCATATTCATACCGGACTGTCCAATGTTCGCCAGGATAAAATTAGTTGAAGTAGAGAATATGGGTTCCGGCATGAGCAGGTAACTTGTCTGGCAGCTTGATTGTCTCTAAACTTGAATTGATATGTCGCCTAGATATGGTAGGCTAAAATGAAATCAAGTAACGCGTCTTGACAATCGCCTTTCAGGTGATATCTGCAGCAAAGGCTCATACGAGCAGGGTGCACTGACGGCAAAGCTGGTGCTACCTTGCCCGTGGGCAAGTTGCTCCTTTTGGCATCAGCTGAAACAGTACGTGGGATGTCAGGGCAGAAACACTTTTGACGTCACACCTGAATCACCGTTTACTTCTTAGCCACTCGAGGACAGCAACACAACAAAGTAGCCGTCAATTTACTCTAGAGAGCATAGGTACTGTAGCTCTGCATGAATTCCTGTCGTACCACACGCCTACGTTAAGCAAGCCATCCGATGTTTCCGAGAGATCAGCCCACCAGCAATGTCAACCCCTCGCCACACAGAGTCCAGCACCAGGCGCCTGATAGAAATCGCCAATTCGAGCTCTACACAGAAACCTTTGAACACCCAAGAAATAGAAGAGACCAGATGGGGAAGTCGGAAGGCGCTGCGCAGACAGGGAGCTCTCGGCGCACTGCTAATGGATACATCCCGATTGAGGATTATGGCCTGATTGGTAACATGCGTACATGTGCCCTATCTTCTACAGACGGAAGTATAGATTACATGTGTTGGCCTTACTTCGACTCGCCTACCGTGTTTGGCCGTATTCTGGACAAGGACAAGGGCGGCCATTTCACCATATGCCCCACCAATTACGATCTGTGTACCCCCAAGCAAGATTACCTTCCAGCAAGCAACATACTCCAGACGAGATACCTCAAAGAAGAAGGTGCACTAAATGTCGTGGATTTCTTTCCACGACCTAATAATAGGAACCTGGATGCCGAGTACCACGCAAACGTCATCAGCAGCGACCACACTGGCAAGGTACCCGACCGACCCGATCTCAAAAAGTATGTCAAATACAATGCAATGGTATCCTTTTCAACGTGAATGCTAATATCTGCCATCTGCCAGATGGCTAGTGCGGCGCGTGGAGTGTATACGTGGTTCAATGGATGTAAAGGTCGTAGTGTCCCCAGCATTCAACTATGCGCGAGACAAGCACACCACGGAAATAGTCGACTTGAACACGACGGATCATGGAAACGGTCTTCAAAGAGCCATATTTCGTTCCCAAGATCTGGCCCTTGAACTCAACGTGACCATCGACTGCGGCGATGAAAAAGATCAGACTTGTCCGATGGTAGTGTTTGAGAAGTCTGTCGAGCCTGGAAGCCTTGGTGAGGGTATTACTGCCACATTTCACCTGGAGGAAGACCAAGCTGTATCATTCGTTCTTCGAGCTGCTGAGGATCATAGCCCCGAAAGAATCGATACTGTGCTGTTAAACGACCTGCAGCGAAACACGCACCAATACTGGGCACGATGGATCGATTCTGGACGATATACAGGACGTTGGTCCGGGTATGTGATGCGGAGTCTTCTGTTACTCAAAATGCTCACCTTCGAGCCCAGCGGGGCTATTGTTGCCGCACCCACGTTTTCTTTACCAGAAGAGATTGGTGGTGAGTGACATATTCTCCAATACCTGCAACCGCTAAATGATAATCCTACAGGTGTGCGCAATTGGGACTATCGGTATTCCTGGGTGAGGGATGCGTCCTTCACAATCTACATCTTATTGCGGCTGGGTTTCAGCCATGAAGCTGAAGCCTACATCAGTTACATCTTCCAGCGAGTGAAGGAGACCAAGTCAAGAGGTAGCCCACTGCCGATCATGTTCACCATATGGGGTGGTACAGATATACCAGAAGTTGAGCTTGCCCATCTGGCAGGCTACAGGGACAGCCGGCCCGTACGAATTGGGAATGGCGCTGCCTTCCATACCCAACTTGACATATACGGAGAATTGATGGATGGCATATATCTTGTGAACAGATTCGGCCAACCGATTACCTATGATCAATGGTGTCTTGTACGGGAATTGGCCGATTATGTCTGCACCGTGTGGCAGGAGCAAGACATGTCCATCTGGGAAGTTCGAGGAAAGAAGCAGAACTTCGTCTATAGTAAGATGATGCTCTGGGTTGCACTCGATCGCGCGCTACGCCTGGCAGACAAGCGGAGTTTTCCTTGCCCCCATCGAGGAGAGTGGTATCGAGTTCGCGACGAGATCTACGAGGAGATCATGGATAAGGGCTACAATTCGAATCTGGAGTGCTTCATCCAGAGTTACGAGTCGAACGAGGTGCTAGATTCGGCTGTCCTGGTTGCGCCTTTGGTGTTCTTCATATCGCCAACGGATCCTCGGTTCTTGAAGACGTTGAACCGCATCTTGAAAGCCCCAGAGAAAGGAGGACTGACAAGCACAGGTCTTGTGTATCGGTACAACAATGCAGTGAGCGATGATGGCGTTGGAGGCGGACGTGAGGGTGCCTTTAGCATGTGTACCTTCTGGCTTGTTGAAGCACTGACGAGGGTCTAGCTCCCCCAAATCTCAAGGCTGTATTCCTTACTGACAAATTAATAGGCGGGTGCGTACGACGAGAAGTATCTCTTGCAGGCAGTCAGTATTTTCGAGAATATGCTCAGCTTTGGCAATCATGTGCATATGTTCTCCGAGGAGATTGCGCGGTCCGGAGAGCAACTTGGAAACACGCCACAAGCCTTCAGCCATCTAGCTCTGGTCTCAGCCGCCTTCAACTTGGATAGGACACTAAACTCGCGCAAGAAATAGTGGCACCTGTCTAGATGATCGACCGTAGCTGACAGCTGAATCATTTCTAGCGGCCATTCTGCCGGGGATAAAAGCCTGTAGCTACCTTAGTCCTCAAGCACAACTACCTATGTATTAGAATGGCCAGTTGCCCGCAGACCCAACCGTATCATACTCTACCAAAGGTGCTGTACGTAGCTCTCTTCGGGTGACTGGGATTATCGCGAGAGGTGTCATTGTGCGTTGTTCCGGAATGACGGTCGGTTGCTAACTTAGCAAGGGGGGTTTAGTTGTGCGGCACGAAGGAATGGAGGCGCTAACAAAAGCCCCTTGCGCGGCGACACCATCTGCGAGGGCGCAGTTCATATAACCATGGAATTAGCGCTGCGTGAACTTGTATTTAGCATAGGGTTAGGCTATACTAAGCTCTACTAGCTAGCTAAGCAAGGTTAACTAAATATTATACTATAAGATTTTATAACACGTTCTAAACCTATTCTAAATATATTCTATACTAATAATACTATAAGCTACTACTACTATACCTATTACTAATATATCCCTTATATCCTATATAAGTAGATTAAAATATATTTAGAATATATTCTTAATAGGTTATAGAAGCACTATTAATAGTACCTTACCCTTAGCTATATCCTAAATAATATTAGGGTATAGCCTATAGTTAGCCCTAATAGGGTAGTTAAGATAGAGAGTAAAGAGCGCTACTACTATACTAAGATTAATAATAAGGGCACCTTATATAGAGTAAGAATAGGTTCTAAATATATTCTAAATAAGTTCTAATATTCTTAGGCTATTTTAGGTACTAGGGGCACTTTATATACCTATACTAAAAAAGATTATAGGCTTAATATAGCCTACTATAAAGTTAGTAGGGTTAAGAAGACTAGCTAGCCCTCTATAATAGAGGTCTATAAGGTAAAGAGTAAATATATTATTAACCTATTCTTAACTTGTTATACTAATATATATAGACTTCTATATAAAGGTTATATATAATTACTAGAATACTCCTTACTATAAGTTATTTAGAATATATTTAAAACTTATTACTAATATATTTTATAGAAGTTCTCTAAGCCTAGCTAGTAGCTACTATAGGCCCCCCTATAAATACTAATACCCTCCTAAATATAATTTAGAAGAAGACTTACACTAGCTATAATAGTAATAAGGTATAGTCTATAAGAACCTATTAAAAATATATTACTAACTTATTATAGCTTAACTTTATTACTATATCTACCCTACTAAGGATTTAAGGTTATTAGGTTCCTTATACTATCTACGCTTATAATTATCCTAGCTATAGTAAGTTATTTATAATATATTATTAACCTATTCCTAATATATTTTAAGACTATTACTTTAATACTAGTATAGACCTTACTAATTCCTGCTAGAATACTACCTAGTTCTACTTATAGTATACTTTTGTAGAGCCTAGGGAGGATAGGGAGGATAGAGAAGATACTAGAGAGGGGGAGGGAGATAATAATAGTAACAAGTAGGAACACGTTAAGAATATATTAAGAATAAGTTCTAATAAATAATATATAATAGTATATAACCTAAAAGGGTAGTAGTAATTACTAAAATAAACTCTCTACTCTTCTTTTTTTTTTTTTCTATCTACTAAAAGTAAAGTACTATTTACTTTTATAGGGTCCTTTAATACTATATAATTTTTTCTTTTTACTTTTATAGGTATTATAAAGCTCTAGTAGTCCCTTAGATTAAAGAAGAATCTAGCATTTATAGGTGTCTAGCTATAACGTATTATTAATATATTCTAAATATATTTTAAGAGACTAGACTTATATCTCCTTTTTACTACTTTTGCTAAATATTATTTATAGTGTAAAGGGGAGTAACTATTTGCTCCTCTTCTTTACTCTCTGCTTCCTCTTTAGCCTCTACTCTAGCTACTACTTCTTATTATAGACTAGCTATCTTAGAGGGTTCTTAAACCTTAAAGGAGGCACTTAGTATAGTCTACTCTACTAGTAGAGAATATATTATTAACGTATTTAGAACACGTTCTTAAGTATTTACTATTAAGCTCCTATAGAAGATCCTTGCTTCTATAATACCTTATATTATAGTTCTACTATAGTTTACTAGGGCTATTTAAACCTTAGGATAATACCTCTTAAGGTAGTAGATAAGATTGCCTCTATTAGAGAAGTAACACTAAAATAGTTATTAATATATTATAAACGTGTTCTAACTTATATATATACATACTCTACAAAGTTCCTATACCCCTAATCTAGCCTAAATAGCCTAGTAGAAAAGCTTACTAGGAAATACTATACACCTATTATTTAGGTAGGATATTATAGGAGAGAATGCCTTAGTATTAGATAGAAGTAACTTAAGCTTAATATATTACTAGTATAAATCCTACTTAGTATTAGAACAAGTTTATAACGTGTTCCTAACGCGTTCTATTATATACTAACTTTAAAAGATCTTTATAGACTATATTAACTAGTTATATCTAATAATATTAAGAAAGATAGATAGTAAAATAGTATTAAACTCTTAAATATAAAAAGTTCTTGTAGAGTATAAGAAGAAAGAAGAAGAAAGAGAAGAAGAAAGAATATATATTTATCTACTTATATATACTTATATAATAGACTAGAATATATTAAGAACTAGTTAGGAACTAGTTACTATATTTATAGACTAACCCTACCTTATATAAAAAGTAGTTATCTCTTTCTTAAGTTTAAACTATGCCTTTTATAATTTAAATAGTGCCTTTTTCTATATAAGTTCTTCTTTATTTACCTCTAGCTTTTCTTTTCTCTCCTTTAGAGCCTAATTACTAAGAAGAGCCTTTTATTATAAAGTTTATAGTTATAGACTAATAATAAGTTAGGAACGTGTTATAAACGTGTTTTATAAAGTATACCTTTAGGTTACTATTAGTAGAGGAGAAGAGCCTAGTAGTAGAGAAGATAGAAAAGGGGCTAGTAAACTTCTTTCTAATACTACTCTACTACTTGCCCTCTAGCTTTAGGCTTTTAAGCGTGCTCTTTTATTTCTTATTAGGACTAAGATATATCTAGTTAAGTTAGATATAGCAAGACTTGCTTTATTATTATCTAGAGTGTTATTATTATTATAGGATATATTCTAAATATATTCTAAACACGTTTTAATTAGCAAATATGCATAACGCTAGTGTAAGACTTACTTTCTCCCCTCTAAAGCTTTTTAAGGTACCTTTGCTTAAGCCTATTAGGAGTTCTATAGTTATAGCGTATTCTAAACTTACTCTAGGCTTTAAACTCTTTTATATCCTATAGATCTATCTAGTGTACACTATATAATATTACTTATATAATTCTAATAGGTTAAGAATAGGTTATAAACTTACTTCTAAGTAGCCTTAAGAATACTTATATACTTACTAGTTTTATATTCTTTCTAGCCTGCTTGCTTAGCTATATTTAAATAAGATTCTAGTTTTTCCTATACCTCTTTTAATATTTTACTATAGTATTATATAATCCTAGTAGTAATTACTAGGTTTTTCTTATAGATTACCTAGTTTTAGGCATCTTTAGAGGGTTCGTGTTCTAATTATATAAGAACAAGTTAGGAACACGTTTAGAATAGGTTTAGAATATATTTACTTATATAAGAGGAGGTTAGTAAGCTAAAAGTATTCCTCTACTATTAATACCTATAGTAATTCACTTAGATATAAAGAGGTAGTATTATCTAGCTCTCTTTTATATACTTTATAAATACTTCTTTATAGATATACTTAATAAAATCTTATACAAGATTAAAGTTACTAGCACTAGTTACGCTTATAGGGATTAATTAACTAGAGATAGCGCCTAAGTCCTAGAAACAAGTTAGAAACATGTTATAAACAGGTTATAGTGCGCTATAAAACTTGCCTATTATCTACTTATTATATATATTAATAGTAGTCCTATAGAATCCCTATAAGTAAATATACCTCTATAACACTTATCTTTTTATAAGTGCTTTATACTTCTAAAAGAAGTTAGTAATAGTAACTTAATATATCTTAGTTATATCCTTATCTATAATAATTTAGCTAAGTGTAATAACTATAATATATTAGAAATGTGTTATAAACCTATTCTTAATACGTACGCTTCTTTTCCTATAGGTAGAAGATTACTATTAGAATCTCTACCTATACCCTATATAACCTCTTATATAATATATCTATCTAGAATATATCTTAATCTAATAGAATTAATACCTACTCTTTAAAAAGGTAAATAATTAAGTTACCTAAGCTTAATATAAAGATTTGCTATATATACGCCTGTAGTAATATATTAGTAACATATTCTAAACCTATTCTCTTACACTATATATAGTTTTAGGATCCTAATACTTTATCCTCTACTTATAGTATACTCCTCTAAGGCTACTCTTAAATAGGAACTATAAAAGCTTTTTATACTTTATAATATATAAGATTTTATCTTTATTTATAAAGCTAATATATATTTCTTTAATAGAATAGAAACCTTTAAGTTAGAGATAGGTTTAGAGCTAGGTTAAGTTTAAGAACTAGGCTATAATAAGTTAGGAACATATTTATAATAGGTTATAAATAACTTATATTATATAAGCTATAGAGTAAGTATAGGCTATAATACCTTTACTACTTCCTTAATATTACTATTAGATAGTGTTAAGGGAGGAGGAGGTATATATATATATATACTAAAAGAAATAATAGTAAAAAAAGGTATTACTACTATATCTATTAGTATAATTACTTAGAAGGTAACTTTATATAGGATTTTAAATAGAGATCCTTACCCTTATAGATAATTAACACCTAGAATATGTTAGGAATATATTAGGAATAGGTTATAATATACCTACTACACTTCTTTATCTAGCTTAACTATAGCTTAACTATAGAATATAAAGCAGGACTACTAGAAAGATTTAATATCTCCCTAGTTAGAAGACCTTATAGATATATAGAGTCTACCTCTAGTAGTACCTAACTAAAATAATATTTTTTCCTAGTAGTAGATATTAGGCTATAGTTCTAATAGCTAATATATAGTTAAGCCTATTCTATAATTTACTAACTTATTATTAACACGTTTTAAACATATTTAAGTTTTACTCCCTACCTAATTTACTATAGTCCTTATTATAGGATAATAAAATACCTAGTAGTCCTTATAAATTCTTAAAGAGAAGCGCTAAATAAGGCTATAATAATAGCTTCTTATTTATAGTTCTCTTTATAGAATTTTCTTAGGTACTATACTTTTTAAGGTTTAGATCTAATTATATAATATATTATTAATAATATAATAAGAATATATTTATAATATATTCTTAAGATACTTATACGCTTTTACCCTAGAGTATTAGTATTTATACTAGCTTGCTAGCTAGCTATTAAAGAATAGTAAAGTTGTAGGCCTATTAAGATAGATAGACTAGCAGGAGTATTATACCTACTAGAATTAGAATAATTTAAGAACGTGTTCTTAATATATTACCTATATAGCCTGTATAAGCACCTCTTCTCTTATTAGGTAAGAGCTATCTTTATATTACTAAACTAGTATTATATACCTATACCCTTAGCTATATAATTAAGGGTATACTAGGAGAATAGCTATATACTTAATAATTACTAATATAAGTAGTAGTCCTTAACTATTACTATAAGTAAGGTATATATTATACCCCTATAATATATTACTAACCTATTCTAAACTTATTCTATTTACTTTTACTTACTTCCTTAATACTACTACTACTATCCTCCTCTAGCACTTTATATAGTTACCTAAATTTATCTCTAATATTACTATCTAGTTTAGATATATTATCTAGTACTACTATACTAAACTCTAGTATAGTATTTAGGAACGCCTATATATTATTAAGAATAGGTTTAGAATATATTTAAAAAAGATAGTAATAAAAACTACGTTTACTTGCTTAAATTACCCTAATTTATACTTAACTATAGGCTAGTTTATATAACTATAAAAATTTGCCGCTGTGACGTGGACTTGAACCTACAGGGATATTCTAACCACTTAGAGTAAAGCCCAAGTCGCCCGACGCTAAACCCATGGTCATATGACATGCCACCACACCATCTGCATCTTAACTTCCAAGGCCTTTGTGCATCCTTGGACGCTTCTCCATCTTTGTACAGCCACATCGCCAAAACCCTATCCTACCCTTCCAGTCAGACATGACATAGAGACCACACATCCGTGCCTTACAACAGTCTTTGATTTCCTTCTGCTTCGTCGTTCCTTTGTTTTACCACATCTCCACACTGGCAAACTCTCGCCCCAGTGCAAGGAACCAACATCGTCACCAATTTCTGGCCCACGCGCCACATCACGCTCACAACCCACCCACCATGTCACTCTCCTCCTCATCCAGCGTCTCCAACATGTACAATCTCGACGAGAAGATTGATATGCTCCTGCTACCGCCAACCTCTCTTCGCGTCCGCGATTTCGGCTGGCCTGAAACATCTGCACGCTACCGCGGCGACCACACGCAAGAAAGCAACCCCGATTGGGCCCACGACCCGATGGACAGCCCCAAGGCAAAGGAAGAGGCTTTTCAAAAGATGGAAGTCTCGTACGCGCTCTACATGGCAAACATTGGAGGACCAAAAGCAGGGCCGCAAAAGAAAAAGGCAGTCTGGGCTAGGTTTCTGCCCTGGGTGCGTTGAAACATTGCCAATGGCCGATTGTCTTGCATCGCGCAAGACATTGCGCAAGGAATTCTTTGGATGAATGCTTTGCGACGGCATTCGTGGACCGTTGTTGGTTTTTTTTGACATCTGAAGGAGATTGGCATCAAGACATACTCGTCATGCGTGACCTTGGATGAAGATCTGGATAACCCCGTTGGAATATGACGAACACATTCGAAAGATACCCATATTGCATTACGCATGAAAAGGAGGAAAAGATTTATCTAGCCCCCCTTCCCCCTCCAAAAAAAAACATGGAATTGGAGCGCACTGCGACGCGATACTGATTTTCTTATTGTTTATCCGAGAGATGAGATGGGAGACGCATGCATAGCAGCGCCAGGGCCAGTGTGGACTCGACAAACCAAAGTGATCACGAAGGGAACATGCGGGGCTGCAAGTGTGGGGTACAAACCTCATACCCTTGTCCTGACTGTCTGTATCTCGGCGGGCGGCACACTCCATTTGATGCTATACCCACTTTGCTGTTCTATTATTTCTTTTGTCATGTTGTCTTGGTCATGTTTTCTTTTGCGAGCTACGTGTGATGTTTTGGTTAGCATGTTCACCTCTCTTTGTTTTTTTTACCGAGTATACCCTGCGGAATCTTAGATAATTTTTTAGAACTAATTTTAATATATCATTGATATGTATTGCACATGACATAATCATTGAGGGACTATGGTATAGGCTTAGGTGGAGGTACTGTTGCGAGATTAGTGGAGTTTGTCATGGTTTCTTCTTGACCGTTGTGGTACAGAAGATGTCAGTCACAGGGTTTCAAGGTATAGGCACCAGAGATGAACGGCTGTTTGAAGGAGAGATTGACACAAGGATGACCGAGATCTTGTATTTAAAGAACAGGAATATCACTAAAAAGAACTTTCAAAGCGTAAGACTGTGGTGAAACACCATGCAGAGCACAAAGTTTGAATTTCGGTGTGTCATTAGTGTGTTGGATATAAGCATCATGCTGACTACGTTTACGATGAATAAGTGCTTGTTTCGTTAGTGATCTGTAATGGACATTGTCTTGCTTGTGTTGTGATTTGAACAGGAATAGTCATTTCGCATTATTGTCTCACCCGTAAATTTTGATTCATTGCGTAGATTATCGCCGGGCTGTGTTATTTTCTACGAGGCTGGTCTGCAGTGCAGCCGGTCTCTCTTCGGTGCTGTTGTACATTGTATGCTATGGTACAGATTATCTGCCGTGCGTCGTATCGTGATCGTTGGTGCGGACTATTTTTTTGGTGTTTCTGAAGAAGGCGGTGGCTCCGTGAAGCGGTTTTCGCCTTTAGGCTTTGATTCTGGATGGAAATGGGCCGATCGAGGGGTGGAGGTGCCGTCGTCCCAGAACTCTACGTCGCCTTCTGCGCTTAGTGAGCCCTTCTTGATGAGGCTACCTTTTTCCCGCATGAGGTCTTCTATCGTGACAGACTTGTCTGAAAAGATCTGGCAATGGTTAGTCTGCATAAATGTACACGAGGTAATCATGGCGTACCTTGAGATGGTCGCTAATCAGATGTCTGTTCTTGCAATCCGGACATGATATCAGGACAGTCCCGTGGTGGTACCCTTGTTTCGACAGCCGATGCGAGGAGCGCGTCTTGCAGACATTGCATGTGAATGTGAGCTCGTAGGAGGGCACTTGGTCTCGATCTAGCCGTGACTCTGGAGCATTGGTCGATGTCGGAGGGGAGGCTGCGCTGGACTCAAAGCGGGCTGTGGCTGGTATCCGTGCTCGTGACAAAACTGGCGATATTGAAGGACGTTTGGCGATTGACGTTCGCGGCGTGTGAGAGAGGCATGTGGGCGCAGGAATGTGGGTGACACGCAATGGCCTTCTTGCACCGCGAGGCACACCAGCGTGGGCGCATGCGCGAAACATACTTGTAGAGGGACGCATTGCGACAGTGTAGAGGATGCGACTTTGTATTCTATGCCAACACAATAAGAGGCAGAGAAAGACAGGAAGAGTAGAAAACGAGCAAGCAAGCAAGCAAGCAAGCAAGCAAGCAAGCAGGATGTGTGTGAGAGGCTTTGACAGTGCAAATAAAAAAAAAGTTGCTGCATCTTCACCGAGCGCCAAGGCGGAGGTCCCGTTGATGACGCCGCAAGCAGGCATCCCGTCTACAACAGTCAGCTTTCCAACGCCGGGACTCTAGGAGCTCCTATGGAACCCCCGCCAAAACCACACGCTGCATTCATGGATGGATGGATTGATGAGCAGACGCCACATCACTTGCCCATCCCACCACGCCGACTTCTTGCTCCCATTCACTATTCTCTCGTTCGTCCGCGCGCCTACAGGTACACGAAATCACCTGCCAGTCATTGCCACCAACCCACATTCACTTTCAACCACCACCAAACGTCGACCACAGCCTCCTCACAACGCTCTGGGCGAGGAGTGTAGTTTCCTCACAAAAGGTGAAGGGACGACATGATTGCAGGAAGGGGCAGGCAGCGTATACGGCCGCCGCGCAGGGTATGTCTCCACTTCACCCATTCACCTTCACTCATGCCACTCTCATCTTTCTGTTTGCCTACGTCGTATAGCATAGCACTCTTTACCATGGAGCTCTCTACTTGGCTCGATTCACTATTGATTTCAGAGGGGGTTACTGACACAATGCGCCGTAACCAGGGCCTCCACGGCGACGAAGTCGATTTCGATGACACTTGGGCCATTATCGAGGCAGCCTTCCGCGAAATTCACACCAAGAATGCATCCAAATTATCATATGAAGAGCTCTACAGACACGCCTATCGTATTGTCCTGAAGAAGAAAGGAGAAGCCTTGTATAACAAGGTCTATGACTTCGAGCGCAGTTGGCTCAGCAATGAAGTGCGTGCTTCTCTACAAGACGTCGTCTCATCCAACCTCGTTGCAAATGCAAACAGTGTAAGCGGCACCACCGCCAATGAGCGACGAGTGGCGGGTGAGAAGTTTCTCAAGGGTCTCAAATCAGCATGGACAGATCACCAGGTCTGTACCAGTATGCTTGCTGATGTGCTCATGTATATGGTAAGACGCCTTCCCTACATGACCTCTTAAATGAAGAGCAATGGCTAACACGGCCTGACTCAAGGATCGCGTCTACTGTGCGGATCATCGTCGTCCGAATATCTTCAATGCTGCCATGGTCCTGTTCCGCATAGAGATCTTGGGCTCGCCGCTCTCCAATACCGACGACCGATCATTGCTCAGCTTCCTCAACCACATCATCCTGGACCAGATACAAATGGAACGTGACGGCGACGTCATTGATAAAACTCTCATTCGATCTTGCGTATGGATGCTCGACTCACTTCACGATGGTGAACTAGAAGGGGAAGAGCACCGCCTGTACACCACCTCCTTCGAGGTGGAATACCTCAAGTCAAGTAGGATCTTCTATCAGGGCGAGTCGGAATTCTTGCTACGCGATTCTGATGCTGGCGCATATTGTAAACATGCGCGTCGACGGATATATGAAGAAGATGAGCGTTGCAAGCAGACATTACTGGAAAGCTCCGGTGCTAAGATCCAGAAGGTGGTGGAGGACGAGCTGATCAAGAATCGGATACATGAACTTGTGGAGATGGAGAGTGGTGTCCGTTTCATGATCGATAATGACAGGCTGGAGGAACTGAACCTCATCTATGATCTGAATAGAAGAGTGGACGACAAGAAGACGGACCTGACAAACGCTATACAAAAGCGCATCGTGGAAATGGGCTCAGAGATCAACAATGACGCCATCACAGCCGCTCAAGCTCCACCCGCAGCACCAGCCGGTGATGTGGCCGACAAGACCAAGGGTGCTGCTCCGGAGAAGTCGCTCAACCAACAGACAGTTGCTGCAATCAAGTGGGTCGAAGACGTGCTTTCGCTAAAAGACAAGTTCGACAAGATATGGAGGGACTCATTCGAGTCGGACACGCTTCTACAACAAGCGCAAACACGCAGCTTTGCCGAGTTTATCAATGCTACATCTTTTCCACGATCATCCGAATACATCTCTCTCTTCATCGACGAGAACATGAAGAAGGGCATCAAGGGCAAGACGGAGGCAGAAATTGACATCGTTCTGGACAAGGCTATTGTCCTACTGCGATACGTCCAAGACAAGGACCTGTTCGAGCGCTACTACAAGAAGCACTTATGTCGACGTTTGCTGATGAACAAGTCGATCAGTAATGAAGTCGAGAAGCAGATGATATCTAAGATGAAGATTGAGTTGGGCAACAACTTTACACTGAAGCTCGAGGCCATGTTCAAGGACATGACTATCTCCGAGGATCTCACTGCCGGCTTTAAGAAGCATGTCGAAGGTTTGGGCGAGAAGGACCCGAAGCGCATCGAATTGGCAATCAATGTGTTGACCAGCATGACTTGGCCTCTTGAAACTATGGGTGGAGCAGCCAGCGAAGAAGAGGATCAGAGACCGCGTTGCAATTTCCCGACTGTTGTTGAGAAGATCAAGCGCGGATTTGAGAAGTATTACAGCGAAAAGCATTCCGGCCGGCAACTCACCTGGCTTGCCAACATGGGTTCTGCAGACGTCAAGGCAGTATTTCCCAAAGTACCGCAGAAGGATGGCTCATTTAAAGAAAGGCGACATGATCTCAATGTTTCGACGTATGGAATGGTGATTCTCCTGCTTTTCAACGACCTGCCGGCCGGCCAACATCTGACCTTTGAGGAGATTCACGCTCAAACCAACATTCCACGTAATGATCTCATTAGAAACTTGCAATCACTGGCCGTGGCACCCAAGACACGTATCCTGATCAAAGAACCCATGTCCAAGGACGTGAAGCCAACTGATCGATTTTCCTTCAACGAGGGTTTCCAGGGTAAGTTTGTGAAAATTAAGGTCGGTGTTGTTAGTGGAGGCAACAAGGTGGAAAGTGACCGAGAGCGACGAGAGACGGAGAAGAAGAATGACGATTCACGGCAATTCTGCATAGAAGCTGCTGTTGTTCGTATCATGAAGTATGTCCTTTTCCTCCAAGTCTTTTGGACCAAGCAATACTGACGAAAGTGTAGGCAACGCAAGGAATTATCGCATCAGCAGCTCGTCTCCGAGACTCTTGGTCAATTAGCGGCACAATTCAAGCCAGAGGTCAATATGATCAAGAAGCGGATCGAGTCACTGATTGAGCGCGAATACCTGGAGCGGATAGATGGCGCAAAGGTCGACTCGTATCGCTATCTAGCATGAACCACTTGTTTTCTTCATTATGACGGAAGGCGTTTGACGAGCGAGTATGGTTTGTCCTCGCGGTTTGGTTACTCGGCAGGAAGCATTGCGTTGGTGTCGGAGGTCTATGGCGGGGGCGTTGTGATGCATTGACGACAGGCGACGGGCAAAGACCCCGTGATGAATCCGGGTGGAGGCGTATTTCATGTCTTGCCCGGCGGTTTTATCTCGTAGAAGACACGCAAATATAATGCCCGCAATGTACAATCTGAGACATGTAGCAAGTTTACGAAATCACGTTGCTGTTTTTGCATGCTGTGTGTGGCTCTCACATGCCATGCGCCCGTGGACGGAAGTTGATTTTTGATGTGTGGTCAATTGCCATCTGAAATCTAAATCGCACAATACAAAGAGGTCGAATGTTTATAGATGCTTGTAAATGCGCCAGATTCATCGCTCACTTATATCTCGAAACCACCTTCCTCCGCTTCTCAAACGCATCCCCGACCGCAGATCCCGACCCCCTCGGCCCATCGCCCACCGGCCTCTTCCGACTCTGTTCCAGCGAGCCGAGTTTGCCGCCCTTCTTCTGCGTCAAGCGCTCAATGCGCTCAATGCCCGCGCCCAGACTGCGCCACTCCTCGCCGCCAAAGCCACCGCTCGCCCGCTGACGCGCCAGTTTCTTCGCCTGCTGCTTCTTGCTGTCTGGCGCCAAGCGGGTAAAGTTTGACTCCTCGTACTCGCGCCGCTCATTCTCCTCTCTGCGCTCCCGTTCCGACTTTGTGTGCCGGCCACCCTGTGTGATTGTGCTGCCGATGCTGGGTTCGGCCATGGGCGCGCCGGAGAGTTCGGTGGCGATGAATTCGTCCAGAGTGGCTGATTTGGCGGGGCGACGGTCTCGGCGGGCCTCTTTGGATTCGGTCGTGGGCATGGAGATGGGTGTTATTTTCGGGGGACGGTAGATGTTGTCTTTGGCTGCTTGGCGGTGTTTTTCTGCTTCTGCGGCTTCCGTCTTGGAGTGGGCGACTGCGGTGGCGCGTGGGGCGTAGGCCATTTCGTCTTCGTCGTCTTCGGACTGGTCGGAGCCGGCGGCGGAGTCGGCATCGCTGATGTTGGAGTCTGAGCCCGTGTTGTCGATGGTGGTAGCCGTCTTTGTGTTCCTTGCTGGTTTGCTACTTCTTGGTTTGGCAGTGGCTTGGCTTGTGCGGCGTGCAGCATCGTCTGCGGTGCGGATGATTTTGTCGATGTTGTATTTCAATTTGTTCTCCAGTGGACGCACGCCTTTCTCTAGATATACTCGTAGCTCGACGAGTTTCTGGACGACTTCTTCTTGGGGGTGCAGAGAAGTATCCTTGTTTCCATTCGAGGCAGAGCGAGATCGTAGCTTCAAGAGGATGAGGAAGACCAGGTTCTGCAGGTATGAGAGCAGCAGTTCGTTCTTGACATCGAGTAGTGATATGCCTTCTTTCGGTGGCAGGATGTCGTCTGTGGGCAGTGCTTCTGTGGCAGATTGAATAGAGGAAGTGAGTGTCGCGAGCAGCGACTCGAGGGAGTTGTCGACAGCCATTGTCTTGTCTGTTGTTGATGTCGTTGGATTAATTTGCGATTCAATGTCGAAGTTAGAGTACGGAAAGAAATTTTAGCGGGGCGCGCTAGGGATTGCCCACGCGCGGGTTCGCGGCGGATGCCACGCGCCTTAGCGTGACCTTTTCAGTCATCTATCGGCACACAGTGTTAGTGTGTAGAAAGTGACCAAAGCACTGCCTCATCCATCTCTACTATGGACCTCGTTGTCATCCAGCCTCGCGAATGTCGGTTCCAAGTCTCATCCTAATCCAAAGTTCGACAAGTCCTGGGTAACCATCACATGAGCACCACGACTTTCCCTTTCGATGCTAGAGCCATGCGGCCACGCAGCATCAACCCACCCCCTATGTGCAGTCGTACCACGACACTGTTCGGTGTACATAACACGCATGAGAAACACTGGCCAGTCATGAGCAGAGGAAGTTCAAAAGTGTGTATGCCACTGCATTCATACAGTGCTGGACTGCATGGAGTGGGCGCAGTCTGCACTCTGCCGTGCACCTGCACATAGTCTTCCTGCAAGCCTTTTAAATCCTTGCCAGTCTGTGAGCCAGAAGCTGCAAGTGTATTACCTATGTGCCCCCCAGCATATTCATCAGTCCGTCGAGTCCTATCCTCCCCAGCGAAACACTTCGAACGCCCTATCCACCACGAGGTTTCCTTTTCATGTTGTCGGAGGTCAATATGGTGTACTTACTTGCACCGTCCCTTTTTTTAACGTTGTCATGTGGTCTGGAGAAGATCCCGTCTGTTCCGACATGTGGCGTCAGCATTTCCCCAATATCACCTCTCACAGCTCCTCATGCACGTCTTCGCCTAGCATCCTCTTTAGTAGTAAGGGCCAACGCCGCTAGCATATCAAGCGAGCTATTGAAATGGGCTGTAGGGCTCTTGGAGGTGTGCAGCCTGTCTCTCGTTCTACGGTCGGTCATACATGGCGTACAGCTTGGTGTGACGAGTGCTCACCTGCTCGATAACGTTGAGTCGTCAACTGGCGCTCAGTGGTCGGCCAAAAAGTGTATGGAGTGGTCGCAGTACATTTTGCTAGCGGAATGGGGCGGATATTGGCAAACTCAACGTTACCAGGCGTGCCCTGTTCGCTGGTAGATATTCCATTGATCACAGATACGTACACGGCAGTACAGATAATCATAGATAATCGATAGTCCACATAAACCAAACACTCGGCTTCTTTGGCTATTCATTGTGCTGCTTCTCTATTACCGGATTTGGGGGTGAGCTGGTACGTGATGACCTCATAATCATGATACACAAGCATTAAGATCGCACTCTCGGTGCTTCTGAAGGGAGCTATTGCTCCAAAGTTTGTAGAGGCAATCTAGAAGCGGTGGTAATCCAGAGGCGGTGGTAATCCAGAGGCGGTGGTAATCCAGAGGCGGTGGGAATCTGGAGGCGGTGGGAATCCAGAGGCGGTGGGAATCTGGAGACGGTGGTACTCTGGGGGCGATGGGTATCTGGAGGCGGTGGGCATCTGGAGGTGGTGGGAATCTCGAGGCGGCAGTAATCCAGAGGCGGTAGTAATCCGGAGGCGGTGGTATGTGATCCACAGGTGATAATTGGCAGTTTCTTCTTCTGCACAGTCCATATGCCCGACTTGCTCGAGAACTTTATATCATAGAGCGCACGCATAAACAAGGGCCTGTGTACTTGCCAATTCATCATTTCAAACACCAACATCTCTTCCGACTACACAATTCTGGAGTCCTGACTCGAAACTTCACCAACATGAAACTCTTTGCAACTCTTCCGGGCTTTATTCTCTTCGGTTTTTTCACCGCGACTGGTGTTTCTGCCCAGAGCGCTGTATGTTTGGTCCATACATGTCTATGGTAAACTAACACACCCTAGAAATGCCAGGAACCTTCAATTCCCTGGCCTTATGGTTACTGTGAATTTCGCGGTGCGAATGGGGATCTAGTTGGTGGATATAGATGTTCATCGGCAAGTCTCTCTTGTCTACGGGACCTAACTGTAGCAAAAATGCACACAAAGATGGTGCTAACAAGGAATAGGAACACCCATGTCGCTCCCCGGGAACTTCGTGTTCTCAGGCCCCCGGGCAAGATTCAATCTGCGATTTGAATGCCTAAGAGTACTTGGTACTTCTCATTCCCAGACTTCTTGTCAAGTATGATACACAAAATCGCGCTGTCGTAACTGCAATACATCTGCCACCATCACGATACATATAGACCATGTATCTAATCATCAAAGACACTCAATACAATCGTCGTCAGAACATACAGAAGCAGAAAACCCACATGAATGCAAGCTGCAAGCGTGCCTTGGCGACAGACATTACGGTACTTCGAGGGTCTTCACCATCATTTCCCCTTCTCAACCTAACCTACTCCCCCCATCTCCCACCCACATGAAATCCAACCTCCACAACCTCTCCTCCCACCTTCACGCCATCCAACAACCCCAAATACCTCTCCCATCGGGCCTTCCCCCTCTAGCCCCCCCCCTCCCCCAGCCACAAGTCCATGTACGTACCACGTACCTAGCACCCAACGTACGCGCTCAATATCCCTCCACCCTGAACCTTCGACCCATCTTCCAGAAGGCTAGCATGCCAGCGCCAGCGTCAGCGCGCCACCAGACGGTTGTCCGGATAAAATCGCACGGCTGTGGGGTACATTACCGGTACGGGCGCACTAGTAGGTTGGTAGGTAGGTACAGTACGACAGGGTTCGGAGACCACGCCTGTCCCCCCTCCCCCTCACCCCCTGTGCTTGTGTAGTAGCCACCGGCGTCGTGCATAGTCGAGGACCCTTAATATCGACTATATTGCGCGGCTCCAGGATCTGGTCGTGTACGGTGTGACTTGAGATTCTCGCGCTTTTTGTGTGCGTGTCATTCTGCGCAGTTCCAAGGCTGGCTTTACCTTCTCTAAATCATGTCGGTGTAGGGAGATTTTATCAGAAAGCAAGTGTGTAATATTTGTCAAGTTGGGGTATTTATCTCATCTACTACAGTGTCTATTCTACTCGTAGTCGCCACAGGATGTGTTGTACAGATCTCTTAGTTGAGTGAATATATCCTAACCGGGTATTCCCAAGCCTGGCCTCGTCCCAGCAAGACCCCAAAGATCTTCTCACACCTTTACTTCAAGTGTAGTCTTGTTTCCGCGATGGCTGCATAAGCCTCGCTTTGAGGCCCACCTGCAATTTCCACGCAAGACTGCTTCGCCAGAAATCGTTGTGGTCGGTTGTAGAGATCGAGGTAATTACGTCGCTTGGCACGTCTTCACATGCCTTGGGCCACTGCTGTGGCAATCTTGACATGACCGCCACTTCATCATCTAGAGCGCTGCTAGGAGTGCAGGGCAAACAACAAGGACGATTCGCTTGTCGGAAGATGATGGCGTCAGCGCCCTAATAGAGAAGATTTCCTTGACATTAGATCTCGATGGCCCTCTGTTCTGGGGCACCGTGGGCTCAGCGGAGAGTGGCCACAGGTTGCTACTGATGTGGCGTGAGCCGCATGCCATGTCTCGCAAGAGGTGGGTCACTGCGAGGCAGGGGACAATCAGATGATGATGATTACCCGGTAGCCTCCTTGTCCAAAGAAGAAACTGGCATGCTCCCTCACACTTCGAACTTGAGACCAGCAGTTCGCAACCATAATTGGCGTTTCCCTTCAGCCTCGCGGATGATTTCGGCGGACAGGCGTAGACTAGGTGCAAGATGAGCATAACGCTCCATCTCGAGGACAACATTGTTGATTATATCGTCCATGGTGGCTGGCGGGGGAAGTAATTGTGAAAGCGAAGGAGTCATTGTCGCGCCCATGATCAGTAGGGTTTGTGAAATGATACTATGTCAAGTTAGCTATGGAAACGCACTCAGCAATCGGGCAACATACGATAGTGCGCCTTGGAACAAGTACGGAAGGTGTCCGGCGTGATGAGCTGTGATGTATTCCAGCTGGCGCACACAGGCTTCAAGGCACTTGTGACAATTGTCTTGGACGCTCGAATCCATGGCTAAACTCTCATCTTGGAGAACGAGAAGTACATATGGACGGAAAATGATCGTCCGACAGGCGAAGTAGCGCAATCGAAGTACTGTCTGCACAGGGTTTTGCAGTGGTACTCTGTCAAGCGGAAACTGCATGGCTCGCGGTAGCCCTGCATACCATTGGTTCAGTTGGAAGTCCAGTTCAATAACCAGGGGATCTAGCTGGGCGATGGAAGTGGCTGCAGGTCCCTTTGAGTAAGGCGTTGTCCGTATGTACAACATTGAGCTGACGCGGTTGAGCAGTCGGCGTAAAGCAATCTCCGCAAGGAAATACCATAGCTCATCCCTGCCGACAGCTTCCGTTCCCAAATCTTCGAACCCAGTGGGTAACGAGAAGCCTTCTTCAAATTGCGCAATGCCAGAGTGCGGAAGATCCAATTCTGCCAGGAGATCACTCTCGATCATCACTGCGTTCCAATAGACTCTCTTGCCCAACTCTTCCTCTGCTGGTGAGATTCTTCCGGGAGCACTCAATAGCAACTGCAGTTTCATACTGGCACCTGACAACACGTTCCAGGCTTCGACTGGGCGCACAAGATACACAAGGTAGGCTGCAGCTAGGATCTGGCACTGCGCAGCGACCATGTTATTCCTCGTCATGACCGTTGGAAGCAGATTCCAAGCTGCCGCAAAGTATGCCATGCCCGGGGGGTCCTTTGTAGGGTCCTGTTGCGTTATACTTCCAGTGCTGCCAGCATGGCCCAGAGCGAGCACAAGTAGCACGATGCAGCTCTCAGGACCGTCTCTAAATCCATGGCTGAGTGCAGTCTGATAGTGGCTACTCCACGTATATGGATTGACGCAGGCGTAGAATACATTGACTCTCTCAAAGTAGGCCTGGACGTATGCGCCGGTGTTTGATAGATCCAACCCACGACTTGTACCAAGACTGACAGAGTCCCGACTCATCTCAAGTTGCAGGAGGATTTTGGCATCGTACTGGCGGGATACAAGTTCTCGGATCATGGGCGAGGAGAGGAGATTCAAGGCTGCAGTGTTGTGCGTTTTGGGCATGGTCGAAATGTTCAACGGATGGTTCGTCCATGTCCCGATGCCGTTTATCGGTTGGACCATGCCCAGATGGGACATGGTTCCGGTGCTGCGGCCAAGAAAGTCTTCACTCGTGGAATTACTGGCAGTCGGTGAATGTGAAGACAGCGAGAAGCCACTGGTGAGCCCTGTCTGAAGCAGGCCCTCGATGCGGTTGAGGTGCTCCAAGATCAATTTGTCGCCGGCGTCCAGTTTGATTCCAGGTTCTCGGTAAATGCATTCTGCATTCAATTCGGTGCAAAGCCTGCACTTTGGCCTGGTGCCATCACATCGTGATTTCCTGGACCGACATATCTCACACTACGTCGTGTCAGTACATTTGACAGTTTCTATGGAGCGACTTCTTGTACCGCAATGGTTGCGCGTCGCCTTGGGTAATCTATAGTATCGGTGCTAGGTCGCTTCTTTGACGATGGCCGCGAGTCGGTCCCATTGGCACCGTTGCTTGTTGGTGCTATTCCATTTGTCTGTGCAGGTGGAGTGTCACTTGACATCTCCCGGTCTGTGCCAGAAGACTGCGACATATTACGGGGCCGTTTTCTGAACGGATTGCTAAGACCACCGCAACCTGAGAAGAGTCCATTCGGAGACTCGAGAAGATGAGGCGACCGAAGAGCAGACTTGAGAAGAAAACTGCTTGCGTCCGGCAAGGTGGAAAGGTTGAGGCAGAACGAGTCCCGCGGGAATTGGCCATTGGTGGTTGCTGCTGACACGGGACTAACGTCTGGAGAGGGCGTGATCCCGGCCATGATTGGTGGGACGGCTTGGATGGCGACTGGGGGGGAGAGAGAGAGAGGGCTGGGTTCAACTCGAGGTTCTGTGGCGTTGCGACAGACGTCTGTTGACAAGTTCACATAGACCAGATTTCTTTGTGGATAATGAATAAGAATGCAGTTGGGGCGCAAGGTCGGACATGGCGAAAGAAGTCGAAAGGGGAGGCGAGCCGTGCATATATTCCATCCAATTTCGCCTTCCCTACCGGTAGCTCCTCCCAGAAGTTTGCACGGCGCGCGCAAAGAAGAAGAAGGGCGTGAATGCGGGGATGGCAGGGGGCCGTTAGCAGCACTACCTATCTACCTACCTACATGCCATAGTCCATACACGCTGTGCTCAGACTTCTTCAGAAAGGCGCCAAAAGCGGCTGCAAGGGTGTCAAGTGGACGCCTACGGAAGACACCAGGTTTCTGACTCCACTACTTCTCGCCTAGTCGACGATAAATTGCCTCCAATCCAACCGAGCGGCCACCAGAGGGAAGAGCACATGCACACAGCATCATGGCCTCTGGCAGCTGTCATGTATGTGAGATTTGCCTGCTTACAGAGAGCTCTGCAGGAAACACGGAAACACGGAGCACGCTGGAATCGGAAATTCGCTGGGCCCCTTCAGCATGGGCTCTCTGGAAGAGCAACAGAGATGGCCATGTTGGACTCCGAGATGTCTGCCTGCTAAACTCTCTATAGCCGGCCAAAACAACCAGACATGACCCACCGACAAAATGTATGGCGTCGCGCCACAACCTGGACAGGAAGGGTCCGTTGTCACCACCCTCAGCTAACGGTAGCGGTGGACCTGCGTCTGGGGCCTATGGTCGTCACGAGCGCCCGCAGCATGAGAATATTGCAGCCAAGACAAACGATATGCATCTCGAAGGATGACGATTGTTCTGATTGGTCCCAGGTCAGATTTCCATGCTCAGAGGTACTATCAAGATGCAGCCCAAATGAGAAGACAGGGATTTCCCCCGGCATAGAAGCTGTCGAAGCTGTCGGAGACGACTGAGAATTGAGGCGCCGGCTACTATGTCACCAGGCGTCTTCCGTTGTCTTCCAGCAATCCCCTACGTCAGACGTACACCAGCAATTGTGTCTTACGTAGGTTGCTCAGACGCAACTCCAGTAACCTGGGAGAGCAGGCTCGAGGCCCTCATTGGTGGCCTGCGTTGTTCCCTCTCTCACCTCATCTTCTACGTTCGATTAGGGTACGGTAGGTTGAAGAGATTGTCAACCGTAGTACAAACCATGTGTTGTGTAGATTTTCATGTCCCCCACCTGAAACCTACCGTAACTCTTGGACACAACAGTTGTCTTTGTGGGCGGTGAATTCGTGCTCTTGTAACATCCTCTTAGAACATTCAATTTGTAGTTACATGCAGTTGTCTCAGCTGCAACTGCTCTGTACCTGTGTTATAACCTCGTACTTGCTATGCCTCGGACGAAAACGCACCTTCCAATGGACGCCGCTCTAGTTGTTTACGTGTATGACGCTGGTATCCGCAATGTCTGAAGCACAGCAAACCATGTGCGGGTCCCAACCTCAGCGTAATACAAGGCAAACGCAGTTTTGCCCGATTGTGAACGCTGGACTTGACAAGCAATCTCTGTGCTATCTGATAGACATACCTACCGAGAGCATTGCTTGACTCACTCACGCCAGTATGAAGCCGGAAGCCTTGGATGCCATGGCCACTCAGACAATGAGGCCTGAGGCCTTGGATGCTGCCACGGCTCCAGACGCTGAAAAGGGACAACCACCCTCAGACAAGACCAAGGTGAGAATTTCCTGTGGATCCAAAACATAATCATCCACCCTGACGCTGCCTGCAGTCTGCCACGCCAAAGAAGTCCCCAGTCCCTACTACACGACCAGGCTCCCCTCCCAGCGACGAAGCCGATAACACCCATTCCGTAGGCCAGGTCGTTGAGAAGGTCGTCCATGAAGTCAAAGCCGTAATCGACGGCGTCCTCTCCTGGGCCGAGGACAAGGCCGATGGCCTCAGCGCCAAACAAGACGACACCGGACCTTATTCTTCACCAGCGCTATGTGCTCCCTCAGACATGGATCCTATTGCAAGCGGCATTCTGCCTGCCATGCCTTCTGAAGACGCACGCGAGCATGATCGAGAAGCTAGGCAGGATGAGAAGTCCAGCAAGGTCGTCAGCGAGGACAACAGGGAGCGGAAGAAAGAATAAGGGCGCAATGTTCGAGGAAAGCAGATGGGAAGTGGCCAGGCTCGTTCCGTGGTCTCTCACGACGTCCCCGTTGAGGTGGTCAAAGTATGCTTTAGTGCAAAGGCAGAGTATAAGGAAAATTCAAACTTATGATTCTCCACATGGCATGTCAGGCACAAAGATGGATGGATGCTACCCCAGATGCAGTGTGTACGGTAGAAGCGGACCCGCTTCCAAGTGGGGAAGTGTGTCTCAAAGCAGTAACAGCCTCGGCAATCACTACAAGGGTCGTTCAGCTTAATATCACCCTCTCGAACAACGACATCTTCATGAGCAGTCTTCCACCGCATTTGATCGCATCGAATCCCCATACTCGTCTTACCGTGTCCCTATAATTTCATCCAGCAACCATGGCAACCACAACATCAAAGAATCACCCCCTCCTACTCGCAAGCGCCCTTGCCCATGCCGCGCTAGCTCTGGGCCACACCGTACGCAATCCATACTCTACTACTTTCCTTGCTAAGATACAACAACGAACAACACCAACTAACAACTTCCCGTCACCCATCAGACCAAAGGTCTCGATCAATTCAAACACCCGTCCATAACATCCTTGCCCATTGCCCTCCGCGGCGCCGTCAAAGCAGGCTGGTACGAAGGAAGTGGGTTCTTCATCATCATGGGTACGTCACTCCACTCCAATCCCACCAAAGTAGAGTATGCCGGCCTGCCAAGCTCAGCTGGCACACGATCTGTTTGGAGCCATGGTAGCAGTCGTACTGGATGATGGCAATTGTCTCGCTAATCAACACTATGGCTGTTTAGGTATTCTTAATTACAAGTGGTCGCAGACAGGTATGTACCGTGCATTCATCACATGTCTCATATATACACATGTACCATGTTTCTCCATGAACACTCTTGCAAGAAAACTAACTCTGCAACAAAGGAATTTACGACATCTACGACAAGGGCATTGCTGGCGTCCTCGTCAGTCTGCTTGCGGCCGCAAGTGCTGCGTACTATAGAAGCGGCGACAAACCGACCGCGGCCACTTTGGCGGTGGTGACGATTCTGCAGGGGTTGGGAGTTAAAAATGGTTCGTACTCGCGCTTCACGTAGAAGCTTTGGCTTATTGGGGTAGGTATCGTGGCTTGATGGGATTGAATGGGTGCAAGAGAAGAGGATGGTGTACAGTCTTTACTCATGTGCGAAAGGAATCCTATAGTTAATCACAGGTGCATGTAATGTAAAGCTTGTAGTGGGTAGTGCAGAAATGTATTGTGATGTTAACACCCTACATAATGAGTTGCACATGAACAAAACATCTATGCTGTTCGTGGTCTCACAGCACAAGGCTACAGGAAGCCAAAGACTGAGACCCATGGGTATAGAACTCCGTAAGATGTCCATACACTGGATACATATATGCATGTAGGAAAAGGTACCTTGCGACCACCTCATTACAGATTTTCAATGCGAGAACCCAGTACCATTCCGATTGCATACCCTGCGGCAAAGTGTGTCCCTCTCTTTCTAGATTGCCCAAAGAAAAGGAAAGCCGACTGTGCTGGCAAGAATCAACCCTACTCCTGGTGAGAACATGGAACAGCCTCGATCTTCTCAATCTTGACTGGAATGGCACGCTTGCAGCTGCCAAGAAGGCGCTCAAGACGTGCAACGTAGTACTCGTCCACGCTCTTGCTTGGATCGGCAACGTGCTCGTCCTCAGCCAACTGCTCGAGACGCAGGCAGACATGGTTGACATTGTCCTCGACATCCTCAGCCCAGTTGCTCTTCTCGGTGACGCCGTCGCTCTTCATGCTGTTGCGACTGCTCGCAGGACCGACAGTGGCATTGAAGGATATGCCGTTCTCGCCAAGAGTGGAGGGAACACACCCCGAAAGCGCCTTGGTCGGCAGGTCTTTCGAAGTGAAGGACAGGTACTCCTCAATGCGCGGGTTCACCATTGGAGAGCCTAGAGCGATGTATACTGAGCCATCATCCGTGGGGCTGACAAGAGGGGGGCTGATCAAAGGGGGGAGCGACATACTGTGCTGACGGAAGAAAGACTTGTCCTTGCCCGCATCGCTCAGCACCTCTGGTATGCTTGCCATCTCCTGCTCGTCGTCTTCGACAATCGAAGGATCGACGGAGGGGCTGCTGCAAGTTCCATCGGCGTCGCGGCGAGCGTGCTTGCGGTCGTCCATCTTCAGCTTATCGAGCCTATCATTGACAGCACTGAGACTACGGACACGATAACGTGAGACGACAGAGGGCGCTGGGGAAAGAGCAGTTGGTGTGTTGATAGGAGGGGATGGGTAGCGCGGATCGTCGGCAGTCTCGTTCAGCAGCCACTGGTAGGGTGCGAGGATCTCAGTGACATTTGCGAAGTCGATGTCAGGCACGGCACCCTCAGCGTCGTCGTGGTACTCAGTATTGGGCGTCGGGTTGAGAACCGAAGGAGCACCCGAGCGCGAGTACTGAGAGCCCATGGAGGTGAGCTTGGTGACGGTGGTGGCCGACATGTTGATGTCTGCAGCTGTAGCGGGTGTGTTAATGTCCGCCGTCCAGGACGGTGAATGGTGAAGTACATACTTGACTTGAGAGATGTGGGATATTCGGATACTCTGGTGTGGGATTGCTGTCGTCTTGGAACCGAGATTTGTGGGCTGCGTGTGTTGTTGTAAGGTGACGGGGGGGTGGATTGGGATTGTGGGATCGAGGGCGTCGTAGGCAGACAGCAGGACTTCTTATAGTGGCAGGTGCGGGCTGACCTAGTGTGGGGGGAGAGCGCGGGTGAAGTGCGGAGAATGGTATGTGCGCCTTCGAGAGGTTATACAGAGACAGGGCAAGCAACAACAGCGGTACCTAAGCCTGTGATTTGACTCTAGAGACGTCCGCGAGCAAACGGGCGAGGTTACCGCAGTCACCACACCGCAAACGCTTTGCGCTGGAAACAAACGGCCGTCTATCATCGATCGTAATACGTTCAGTTTCTGCAGAGATATTTGCGCTTCACCTACGCGACTCTGCGTGCCATTGTGTTGCCGTCATTCACTGAGTTCTGGCTGCGCTGTCGGACTGCCTCCATGTCGCTAGACGGCGTCCTGAAGACAGAGGTACTCGACGGCAGATTGTGTAGTGTCACTCCAGATGCCACGCCCGTCTCATGTTCGGTATTCTGGGCCAGCACCGTCGGGCTGCGCTCACTCTCCACCTGCGTTCCCCTCTTCCGGTATCGTCGAGCAGCACTATGGGCTCTGAGGTTGTAGTGAGCTCCACAAAGGAAGCTGCCTATCCAGAGTACCAGCTCTGTGCCGTATATCACAATACCGAGGATGTCGAGCTTAGGTTGGCACACAACAGACACGAGAGAGAAGACATCACCGAGAGCATCGATCCCGACAAAGATGAAAGATATACCGCGCACGGTGCGGTACAAGTAGATATCCACGTAGTGTCGAAGTACGCCCGCAGCGAGCAAAGCAGCCGATGCAACAGCCATCAAGATGGCAGGCCAACGTAGATCTTTCTGCTTTGCATGTCTCACGGCAATGATGAGCCCAGCTTGAACAGCGGCGATCAAACACGCCACGGGGGTGATGACTGCAAGGCAACGCAGAACCGACCAACGCTGTCAATGTTAGTCGATAATTCATAAATGTTTAACAAGAAGATAGTCGTACCCGTTCATAGTAATAGCATTGGATCCAGGTCACCAGGCTCAGGAGTGTGAGTATTTGCGGCTGGATCCTGAGTGCGATATTGTAGTTCTCTGCAATGTTGTACACGCCTAAGGGGAACACCAGCCCAAGCCCAAAGCATTATCATTGTGGGCTGTAATCCAGTGGCATGTTGTCGACGATAGTTGATGACGATCTGAGAGATGAGCTGCCTCACATGTTAGTGATGGGGCTTCGATGCTTGCAGCAATCCTCTCACTTGGATTGACCAGCACACCTGAGATCAGTAGGGTACTCATACTGGTGACAGTAAGAATGACGCGTACAGCACCCAACGTTCCAAGCACATTCGCCGCCACGGGCACATCCATATCCACATGGGAGGAAAAAAAGATATTATGTATTACAATTAAAGAGGGCGGTTTGCCAGGAGAAGGGGAAAAGTCATTGATGGTTTCACAGCATCCTCCAGTACAAGTCCATACGCCAAGAACAATCAAAGAAGATCAAAAATCCACACGACAGAGAGAAGACTATTCCTTTGTACCAGGAGGACGTCCTGGATGTTCTCGGATTGCGCTTGAAGTAACGACGCTGCATTACAAGGATAGCCCCTGCGTAAACGCGATCGCGTCGCTCAATGCACGGACAATCTCGGACTACCGCTTTGAAATCATCATCTGAGCGCAATCAACGACTTCGCTCTTCTTCCACATTGACATTGTAACTGAGCCGACAATGGCGCCCGGCCCCATAGAGACTCCGGAAAAGCAGGAGGCAGATACTGTTGCGCCGAAGAAGATCTCCAAGGGTGTTGTTCTCGGTCCAGATGGCAAACCGTAAGTACCATACGATGCTACCTTGGCGCAATACGGTGGATGAAAGATTGGGCATTACATGGCTCCGATTTTCACAATCCTTGGTATATATATAAATGCATGTCTGATTCTGATATTTCTCTCAATTGTAGATGCCGTACATGCAACAGTGTAGCCTCCCTCCTCGCACTCTCCGGCAAGATGCCCAAATCGACAAGAACCGCAACCGCAACCACAACCACAACCACAGCCTCCCTCCCCTCCGACTGCCCCCCCGACGTCGAAGCCCTCGGACGCTCCTCCTGGACGCTCCTGCACTCCATCACAGCCACATACCCCACCAATCCCACACCGCAACTACAAACCGAGACCAAGAGCTTCCTGTCGACGTTTGGCAAGCTATACCCTTGCTGGGTATGCGCAGAAGACTTCCAGACCTGGATGGCGAAGAATACACCGCGGGTTAGCAGTCGAAGCGAATTCGGCACGTGGATGTGCGAGGCGCATAATGCGGTCAATGAGAAGTTGGGAAAAGAAACGTTTGATTGTGCCAAGTGGGAAGAGAGGTGGAGGACGGGCTGGAAGGACGGGAGGTGTGACATCTAAAGCAGCGATGCGAAGAAGACTGTAAGTTTATTGTACGGGATATGATATTTGTAGCACGAGCTTGTACAGTATATTGGGGGGACCATTGGTCTTGCGTGGAAACAGCCATGGTGTGTACGACTAGAGGGCATAGACGCAGGCATTAAACGAAATAACGATTACGACCACATCAACTCCATCGATAACAATCATCATTGACCAGTTCTATAATCTTCTCCTTGGCAGCGAAAACGGTCTGGATCACTGAAAATCAAGCCTGATATCGCGTCTCAACCCCTCATCTCAACCCTGGGACGGGATACCCACTATCAAGCGCTACCGCCCACGGAGTACCAGGAATACTACCATCAATTACCAGCACATACACCCACACCGACTATAAAACCCAGGAAGCCAGCCCATCTCCCTGCATAACCCCAAAGCAACCAGCACCCTCATCCCCCTGCTTTCCCCCCACATCCCAAATCCCCCTTGCCATCAAAACCACTCCACGCTTTCACCCCCTCATATCCCCCCTTCCTACCCCCAACCATGGACAATCCAACCACCCACCACCCCCTCAACCCCATCGACCGCGCCTCCGCCATCGCCCTCGGCATCCTCCTCCTCCTCCTCCTCCTCTCCGCAATCGCCTACTACACACGCACCCACCTCCGCGCAACCCGCCAACCCGACCTCGAGCGCCAACACCAAGCCCAACTGCAGCACCACATGGGCGCCAGCACCTGGTCCAGACGCCAGAGTGCGCGTGACGTGGAGAGTAGGTCTGGCAGCAGCTTTTGCGAGATGAAGAGCATGGAGGCTCAAAGGGCTTCGACGGCGGAGCCGCGTGGTTCTACGACGGATGGGTTGCATGATGGGTTTGGTCCCGTGGTTTCTGGGGCTGGATGGCGTGGGCGGAAGGGAGATTGCTTCTTCGTTAAGCCGTGGGCCTGGCTGTCGTCGTCGAAACGCAGGACCGCCGTGGGAGAAGAGAGTGTGGGTCATGTATCCTCGCATGACTACATGTTTGGGACATGTACGCACCAGCCTCGGCACCCGGAAACAGAGTCTCGAGGCCCATCGCCTTGCTCGCCATCTAGTTTGACGCTCAACCCGCATTTCCAATCTGCGTCTCGGGATCAAGTACAACATCACTACGTCACAGAACATTCCCGCAACCACCAGCACTACTACTACCGCCGCCGTCCCTTGTCCTTCCCACTCTCATCAAGCCAGTATCACCTAGATCGTGCCTGGTGGCGCGACACTGCAACCCTCGCATCATGTACCACTACTGACGCCCCCATCGCCACATCAGCCCGTCTCCCTCGGTTCGAAACCATCCCAGAGCCAGAAATAGCATACTACAACCCACTAACACGCATGGTAAACACAGAGGCAGGAGGAGAAGAAAGCGGGCGCGCTGTGTTGAACCGGGCGAATGGCGTGGAGAGAAGGAGGAGTGAGGGCTCTGGATCGGCGTCGGACTCTGTTTTGTATGACTGGACGCGTCCAGGGTTTGTAGATGGAAATGGACATGCTATAGGGAGACAAAAAGGGAGGACGACTGCGATTGGAGGACGAGGGGCTGGTGGCGGTGGTGGTAAGGAGTATAAGAGTGCGGAGACGACGATGAGAGATGGTCAGACGAAGGGGTGTAATCCCTTTGTTTGTGACACTGAGCCCGAAACGTTCGAGGGTATTCAACGAACTGACTGAGCGACGAAGACTTCAGAGGTTGGACAATAATTGGAGACCGCAATGGGGAAATACGTTAGCGCATCATTTGCGGCAACATGCTTCGCAAGACGAGCCATGATCTCTTGCGAACATTATTCAATGAAGAATGTACATGTACTCGCGTCCAAAGGCTGAGCTCAGGGTATTGTGCGGTGAATTAACCGCGGTTTGCATTCGCTATACGGGCTATAATGCGCAGGTATCCAGACTGTCATCTAGTCATCTTTCCTTGCTGTGTATGGGAATGAGCCGAAACCACCTAACTACAAGACCAAAAATTCTGCATTCAATTCCATTGTGGTATCTCGTGGTATATTGCACATGCTGAATACTTTGCAACCGCTTATCGCATGATCTCCTGGTAGATGAGAACTGTATAAAGTCAGCAAGCATTCTCGTGCACAGTAGCATTGGTCTCTCGTACGCTTCAACTGCTCCTTGGTGAGGTTGTCCTTGTTTTTGTCAAAATCGAAAAATTCTTCGGGAATTGGGTCAGCGGTCGGCTCGTCATCTGGGTCATGGTACGGCTCGAGGTATGGGTGCTTGAGTGCTTCCTCTACCGTGATGCGCTTGACCGGATTGAATGCAAGTAATCGCTCGAGTAGATCCAAGGCTAGATCGTTGGTCTTGGGGAACATGGCTTTCCATGGAATCTTCTTCTTGAAGGGCAGCGATCGGATGTACTCGCGAGCGCGGCGCGACTTGATACCGTAGTAGTCCTCCATGGTAGGTGTGCCAAGCACATCAAGAATGAGGGTAAGCTGGTGGTGGTCTGGTCAAACATTAGCCTTTATCCGAAGCGACGCAGGATAGTAGACACCTACAGTCCTTTCCTGGAAACAGGGGCTTCCCGCTCAGCATCTCTGCTAGAATGCAGCCGACACTCCACACGTCAATGGCTTTTGTATACTCCTTGAACGTGAGCATGATCTCCGGTGCACGGTACCAACGCGTGGCAACATATTCCGTCATGAAGCCAGAGTTGTCTTCGGTAGAAGCAGCTGATCGAGCGAGACCGAAATCGCATACTTTCAAATCGCAGTTTGCATTGAGGAGCAGGTTCGAAGGCTTGAGATCACGATGCAGAACATTCGCCGAGTGCATCGCCTTCAATGCACGTAGAGTCTGGTAAATGAAGTACTGGCAGTGGTCGTCCGAAAGCTCTTGCGTCCGGATCACGCGATGCATGTCTGTCTCCATGAGTTCCTGGCCATGGTTAGTCCAAGTCTGCGGTGCAGGTAGCTCGCGTGTTGTCTGGCCATACCTGGATGAGATAGACCTCGGTGAAGGTCTCATAGTTGCGAGGCTTCTGGATGTCGAGAATGGAGATGATGTTCTCGTGGTTGAAATACCTGAGCAACTTCATCTCTCGTAGCGTTCTCAGACAGAACATGGAATGATCGAATGGTGTGATCTTCTTGATGGCGACCTTTTGGCCGGATGGCTTGTGCAGTGCAGAACTGTTGCAGCGTGAGTGAGCCTGTCGAGAATCTGATGAAGGGCGCAACCTACCAGACGACACCATAGGCGCCCTCTCCCACGACATCTTGAATGTCGTACTGCTCTGAGACGTTGAAGGAGATCTTCCTGGAACTACCACTCCCCGTAGGAGGCATGATGGCCAAGAGTTTTGTGGTTCTCTGCGATTACAGGCGGTGATGTAGCTGGCTTGGATCGTCTTTAAGACGCTGCGGGGTTGGCACCGTTTGTAGTCGTCAATTGGCAACCGTCGTGATTGCTGTGCACAGTATCTGTCAGCAAACGTTCGGGGAGGCGGGTGTTAACAGGCATTGTTCGCAAGACCGCAAAAGATGTGATAGTCTCGGCCATCTTGACACAGCCGAGCAGGCCAATGGCCATGGTGAAACAACACAGCGTAAGGACGGCTAGGCGGCCCCACGTGCTTGCACGAGGTGCACAGTGCTTGTAGCAACCACAAAGCTCGGGCGTCAACAAAGAATTCGAGCTACCCATGCCCGGCTGGCGGTGCACACAGCCAGGAGAAACAATGACTTTGACCTACCAGAAAGTGGAGAGCTGGCTCGACTCCGCCACTTGGACAATGGCGCGCTAAGTCGACGACGACGGAAGCGGGAGAAAACAAGATAGGACAAGCTTCTGCTCTCCGTCTCGCTCAGCGGAGGGGTTGCAAATAGGAGGTGGGAGGAGGAGAGGAGGAGGAGGCGGGAACGAGATGTATAGCACTGTAGCCTACGCGTGCGGGCGACTCGTGGGCGATGAGTGAGGCGGTGACGGAAGGAGGAAGCAGGCGTTGTGTAGGGCACTGGGCCGTGAGCACTGTACTGTGTATGGAGGGCGAGGCGGGGCAGCGTCTGCGCATATTGGATGCCAAGTCAGCTGAGGGGAGGGGGAGAGTTCATGAATGCACGGGGGTGAAGGAGTCGAGGTGATGACATACACGTGAAGAGGGCAGAGTGGAGGGGTTATAGGTATTGATGGAATAGGGATGCCCAGAGATGCTTCCTTCCAAGCTTGAGCAGCGAACGTTGGTGGGGGAGGGGGAGGGGGGGCCTGTAGTTAATGGGCAGAAGGCTCCTTCCCTGTAGTGTGCGCTTTGTTGTGGGTTGGGTCGCACGTCAAGGGCGAAGGGCGAGAAGGGGTGAAGGTGAGGGTGAGGGTGAGGGCAGGTACGAGAGAGGGGCAGCAGGTGCGAGGGGCAGGCGGCGGCAGGCGGGCGGGCGGGCGGGCGGGCAGGTAGGCAGGCAGGCAGGCAGGCAGGCACGACCTCCACATAACAATAAGTAAGTAACAATAGATAACAACAGGTAAGTAGTACTGTACGTACTGTACCGCGTATAATACCGCTTGTCTCCTGGCTATTGTCGCTTTGGTGGGGGTGGTTGGCGGGGTCGACAATCGACTGCCTATACCGGTACTGGCAATGGTAATGCTGAACTGAACCAGACAATCAATCCATCAATCCATCCATCCATCAACACTCGCGAGACGTGGGAAGAGACTCGGAGACACAGAATCACAGATAGGACGCAGTTGCAAAGACACGGACGGCCCAACCTACTTGTACTCGCTCACGAATGCGGCATCGACTCTGACATGCACTATGCCGGATAGCTACCAAGTCCCAGGTCGGAAACACCAACGGCGACGGGTGATTAGAGGATGCAGATATAGCTCACACTGCGCCCAACAACAAGTCAAGCACTGAGCAGTCGCAGCCCTCGTCTGGACTCCGTCCGCTTCACCCGCGCACGCTTCTCTTCTCTAGGCGCCCGACTGGCCAACCCTGATGTAACCCGGCGCACGAGTCACGGCGAGTCACATCTTGCCAAAGCGGCTCATAGGCAGGACTGCCCCTCTCTCTCCAGCCTTCCAGAACACACTGCATTTGCATCGCGCCTTTCATCATAGTATGTATGACCAAAAGGTTGGAGTCGGCTTGTCCCAGAAGTGCACTGCCCTGCATGCCCTGCACACCGTTTTGCCTCCCTCTCCCACCCTCCTCTCTTGTCTCATACCTAGGGCCCCTACCGTGCCACTCGACCACCGACGACATTGGACAACAACATTGTAGTAGGTACCATAGGTACTATACAATACCATCTCCATCATTGTCGCCCTCACCATCCCATCTCAAAGCAGAGTCCCTCTCTCTCTCTCTCTCTCTCTCTCTCTCTCTCTCTCTATACTGACCCTTCACCCCTCCTTGGCTATCCGGGTACCTATCGTAGGGCAGCATCTGAAACAGGTCGACTGCATACAATACATATACCGACACAGTAATAGTAGGCCCTTGTTCCACATCTGCAACGGCTATACTTAGTAGGTACAACTATGTCTCTAAGAACAGACCCATGATGAGACCAGCTCGTGCGGGAGACCAACGCCGCCTTGGATTGGACCTGGCGACTCCATCATGGCGTTCCCCTCATTTCAACCACCAGCCAACCAACACCAACCAGTCGCCAGCTGAACATTCCCCCAACTTGGTCACTGTGCCCTCCCTTCTCCGACCTAGACTCGCCCTCCCCGCTTCCGCCTCTCTCTTGTGACTCTCTGTCCAGCGCTGTTTGTCTCAGCGCCATCGATGTCATGTTTGTCCGAGGAATTGAGACGTTTCTTTGTTGTTTCAAGGTTTTACCTAGCTACGCCGTACCCGAGCTTGAAATGGGCTCTTTCTTTTGCCCGCCGCACCACATACGGTACCGCACTCGTCACGGGTCTGCGTCTGTCTGAATCGCCAATTCTGCACACATGTTTCTTGTATCGTGCTTGCAGCCACCCCATGCCCGATTGTGGCGGCTATGCTTCCTCTTAGCTCTAGAGTAGTTAACCCGGAGAGATAGGATCTGCCCTGCTTCTAAACTGCTTTTCTTCCCAGGCTGATGCTGTAGCTTGGAGTTCCGCCCTGCTGGTAAAAGCGAGTAACGACTTCCTGCAAGGTCCCGCCTACCAACTGGCTTGCACGGAGAGACCTCATGGACCGCTCCACCATGGGTACTTGTAACCATTTTACCTTTCCACCTCTTGCTTCTTACAGCGATTCGTCGTGCTGCATTCCATGGCAATCACCTTCCTCATACGTACAAGTACGTTCAGCGTATTTCGAATGCTAGATCACGCAAGTCATGTCAGCGCTATGGTACCGGTAAACTGGCAAAAAAGTCACTCCATGTTCGCTTAACTACCTAATCATCCAAAACAACGCTCTTCCTATGCCTGGTAACTATACATTTCCATCGTAATCGCATCACATCCAGGCTTAACTCTGGTTCCATTTCGTTACATGCCTTGCACACGATATCTTTCCTCTCCCTCCTCTTCTCTCTCTCTCTCTCTCTCTCTCTCTCTCTCTTCTCGGCTATTCCCATCATCTCATGTCCGTTTCCCCTTGTTCAACTCTTCGCGCCGCTCTTCGAAAACCAAGGGAGTCATGCTGATGCAAGACTGCCCCTTGGAGGGTATGCTCGGCCCTCTTGTTCCACCCGCGGTGCACATGTACACCATTGCTCCGTTGGCACGTTTTGCATGACGCTGGCGACGTGTTTGCCGCAGCCCCACCAGGTGGCCTTGTCTGCGTGCCATGTTAGCTATGTGGTTCTGCAATAGTTTGGGATCCAAGAAGGCGGAGCACGGAGAGAATCGACATACGGCAGGAGTCGCAGGACGCTTTCTTGCACATTGTGGTTGTTGGATGTTGCTTGTCGAGGACTTGAACCGGTATTTACAACGGATGTGTATAGATCAAGCAATGACGTTGCTAGTATCTGGGTATATGGTATCTAGTCCCAAGCGGAGAGGTAACGACGTGCGTAGTGTTGCGTCGAATGATGTGACGAAATAGTCGAATTGATATAGTTGTAGTAGCAGTTAACAGTAGACAACCCTCACCTCCCCCAACAGCCACCACAACCACACTTATATACCCTCCCTCCCTCCCCACCCAAACCCATTACAAACCACCCGGCCCATCCCCGCGAGAACAACCCAGACAGAACCCGCAAGGAAAAAAGCCCTCCTCGCCGTCACCTCTCTCCACCGACGTCGCCGAACCCTCCAAGTCGCCGACCAAAATAGGTTCCGCACTAATCGCTTCAGAGGCACCAATCATAACGGGCCGGCGCACATCTCCACTTTTTTTTTGAGAGAGAGAGGGAAAGAAAGAGAGAGAGAGAGAGCTTTGCGCTGCTGCTACTGAGTCGGATTGCATTTGCAATGGGCGTGTGGGTTGCTTAGCGGCGGGTGAGGCGTCGTGGCGGAGGTGTACCTATGTAACTGTGTATGATGGAGAAGGTCGGAGTCGGGCTTAAAGTTGGGATCAAGGGCTAGGGTTTTGCGTGTTTGGGAAGGCGGTGCGGGACGTGGGTTAGTGGGTGGAGAGCACGGTGAGTAGTACGGTGAGTAGAGTACGTGGGGAGTGAGAGCGGAGAATGCCATGGGGACCGGATTGGGAAAGACGTTTGGGTGAGATTTCCGCCATGATTATGGTGCGGTGCTTACCTGGAAGAGTGAATTGGGAGATTACTGCGCATTTTTCTTGATATTCAAGCTAAGGCTCATTACGTGTTTCAAATAGCAGGACAGAAGTTGTGCTTGACTACACAGCATGGGGTAGATGTATAAATAAAAAGAATATAGGGAATCTTCCATCTCGTTCGGCACTCTGATTCCTCATCTACTCCAATAACAGAAAATCGCCAAATCTACCAAGACTTTTGCGCGCTCCATCCCCGTCGACAACACAACGTCATCACCGCCGACCTGCAGCGGGCGAGTCACTTCGCCGACCACAGGTTACGGAACGTCGGACTTTGCGTGCGACAATGCATATAAGACCCATGACCTTAGTCAAAGGTGATCTTGGTCGCCTGTTTTGTGCTATCCACGTCCTTGTAGAAAGCTCCATAGGCATCGTGACCCTTCTTCTTGACGGTAGTACCAAACTTCATTAGCTCTTCAGGCACGAGCTGATTCGCGGCCTTGAGCACGTTGATCAAGCTGGGAATCAGGTCAGTAAAACGCAACGTGAGAGGGGGAAGATTGAGTACGTACGATCCGGAAAGACCCTTGTCGTGCTCTGTGAAGAAGGTAATGGCCAGACCCTCTTTCCCGGCACGACCCGTTCTGCCGATTCGGTGGACATAGTCCTCGGCCGTGAGCGGAAAAGTGACATTGATGACCACCTTGACAGCTGGAATGTCCAGACCTCTTGCGGCAACATCCGTCGCTACCAAAAGTGGCACATGTCCCTCTTTGAAGGCCGCCAACGAAGCACTACGCTTCTCCTGCGTCAAATCACCATGGATTCCACCCACGCGGAAGCCCTTCATGCGGATAAAGTTTTCTATCCGTACAGCCTCCTTCTTGTACAAGCAAAAGACGAGGATACGGTCATCTTTGTTCTTGCCAGACTGATATTGCTTCAGCAACTGAATGAGGCGCTGCTCCTTGGCGTGAGGGTCGATGACTTCCACCACTTGCTTGATGCGCACGTTCGCACGGAGTTCGCCCGAGACATTGTCGCCAATAGTGATCTTCACGGGCGAGTTCATGAATGTCGAGGCAAGCTCGCGCACAGAAGGGGGCCATGTGGCTGTAAACATGAGGGTCTGGCGCTTCTTAGGTGTTTGTGAAACAATCTGCCTGATGGGCTCCTCGAAACCCTTGTCAAGCATACGGTCGGCTTCATCGAGTACCACGTATTCAGCTTTGCTGAGATCTGCAGAGCCGTCGCCGATCAAATCATTAAGTCGTCCTGGTGTGGCGACTACGATATGCGCTTTACGGCAAGCAGCGACCTGCGGGTCTTTCGGCACACCACCATAGACGCAGACCACTTCCAAGCCAGCTGGGTTCGCCAATGCTACCAATTGGTCGTAGATTTGAACAGCCAGTTCACGAGTAGGCGAGACAATAACTGCTTTGATGCCCTTGCGCTTCTCCTTTGGAAGTGAGGAGATGTAGCGTACACAGGGCACACCAAACGCCAATGTCTTGCCGGATCCCGTCTCAGCAACTCCGACCATATCCCTGCCGGAGAGCAAGAATGGCCATGTCGCTGCTTGTATAGGTGTTGGAGCGGTGAATTTGGCGAAGAAGGCTCGTTGCGACGCATCGATGTTGAGGTATTTGAATAAAGTAATGGGTCGAAGTTTATGGAGGGCAGGCTTGGGGTCCTCGATGGTCATGACATTCTTGGTAAGAAAGGCGTCAATCTCCGACTGCGGCAATTGCGCCAGCTCTTTGCTCTCCTGGTATTCTCCCGCCTGCACCGGTGGCTCAGGGCTCGTCGCTGACGACTCGACCATGAGAGTTGTGCCAGAGGGCGCTGTAGAAGCAGATTCTGTAGATGAGCCTTCTGCTAGAGCCTTCAGACGCTTCTTCTCTGCCTTGCGCGCGGCCTTGTCGGCTTTATCGACAGACTTGTCTGCCTCCCCTGCTGCTTTCTTTTCTAGCTTCTTGATCCTCTTCTTCTCCTTCTTCTTGGCCTTTCGCTCTGCCTTGGATAGGCCCTCATCATCCTCCGAGCCCTCGTCGTCCGAGTCTTCTATGCTCTTGCCATTGCTCTCAATTGCTTCAGTCGCATTCGACTTCTTGGACTTGTCTTTCTTTTCCTTCTTGTCCCTTTTGCTTTTCTTCCTAGATAGCTCAGGTGTTTCAATCGCGTCGTCTCCAGCGACGACATCAGAAATGGGACGTTTCGCCATCTTGTCGATTTCCAGAGTTGGGCGAGCTGGGAAACATGGCGGAAAACGGAAAAATTAACTTTTCGTCGGCGGTCGGATCGACTCCTATCGATAACGAGAAGCGCTAGCCTTATATAGACTAAAGCCAGAATATCCTTGGCAAACACAAGATACATCACGGTTGCCCTGCCGTCTTCTCAGCAACCAAGATTTGTCTCCACCTTTTCCACTTCCGTTGTGACAAGTCGTCTGGTATCTCTCGTGGATATCGGATGCGCGCTCCTAGGTACACATGGCGGATGTGACGGAGCTCAGATGCTGGCCGTCATGTCTTGATGCGATTGATTGGTCTCAAGATGGGATCATCGCGCTAGCCTCTGATGAGCGCGTCGAGCTGTTGGTATGTAAGCATGAGAACCCAACATGGAAGTTTGTCACCAATATTCTATAGTTTCCACACACTGTAAACTTCGAAAGAGATTCAGATGTTCCGCAATGGCAACATGTGGCACTCAAAGTTCCTTTGTTCTCGACAGATGAACTCCCGCTCAAGGAGCCTGCACCTTTGCAAATTTACTCTGTAGGCGAAGAAATCTCAAACAGTGTGCCTATATCCGTGGCCTGGTCCTCACTAGGACTCGCAAAACATCGAAGATGCGCTCTCGCCGTCTTGACTTCCAATCTAGCTTTGTCCATTTGGAGTGCTGAAGGCAAGCCCCAGGACGAAGCGAGCTGGAACAGGAGACTGATAGTCAATGATGCTCTGAGAGATTACCAGTTGAGACATGCCAATGAGGAATCTCAAGATGCTCTCCCTCTGCATGAGGATATCGTGCGTTTGCGCAGTCGGATTCGCGCATTCGCCTGGGCGCCTCCATTGCCCAGTGTGGACGGTGCTTGTGTTGTCGGTACATATTCGTCCTACGGTCTACATATCATGGCTGTGGCCAATGATGACAACCAAGTGGCTTTCATTGTGATTCATTCACCAACATCAACGCTTAGTCCAAGCAATGGCTGGAACACAGAGGTAGTAACGCAAATTTCAGTGACACCAGCTCCTGAAGGATCGTTCACTTACCCAACTGTATTCGAAGAAATGATGGAGCAGCAACGACACATAGCTCATCTTGCATGGAGTCCGTGGATTATCAAAGGTGACCACTACCATTCAGTTGTCGCATACTCTACGAACCATGATGTGCGAGCAAGGATAGTTACGAATACACGCGGCAGCATTGAACTAGGTGACGAAGTAGTGTACCCGAACATCGAAGTACGATTCAGTGGACCAATGAAGTGGTCTCCAAAGATTGGGGACGGAAATGAACTCACGCTTGCATTATTCACTAGTATAGGCGTCCAATGTCTTACAATCTCAGCACATGATGCATCCATCATCAAAAGATTTACTCATGACCTTGATGGACGCTGGGATCAGATGACAGGAGTGGTCTGGGACATGGCTCATCAGCCTGTACCCAAACTCCACATGAGCTCGCTAACATCAACGGTCAAAACTCATACTGTTGAGCTCGAAGTTACGTCCAGTGGACTAGTACAGTCTGGGGTCCCCATGTGGAGGGATCAGATTGAAAACCATCTGGCGCAGTTCAGCGTCAAACATGGTCTAAAGGGCAATTGCCTCGCCAGAATTTGGGGCTTGACGTTATCACCTCTGGGAGACTTCTTTGCAACCTCTTACACTTTACATCCTTCTGATATGATCGAGTACGGACCACCTGGAGATCGACGCGGAATCGTAGCCATCAGTACCTCGAGAAAGTATAGTCAGCTTCGCCAGGCATTTCCGTCATGGAACGTCAGTGCTGAGGGGGTCTTACTTACTATGAAAAAGCTGGCCCAGAATGCAGTCGAAGAAGATGATCCAATGTCTGCATTCGCTGAAGAGATGGTTGAAAAGCTGCTTCAGGTGTATGCTAGTCCGCAAGAAGCAGGCAGTGGTAATGAATACCTGGCCACGTTATGTCCAAGCAACCTGGATAAGCTCGTCGAAGCATTCAAGAAAGTCGCCTTTTTAAATCGTCATAGCCTCAGAGACCGCTACACAATACTCGTTGATCAGGCATGCAATACCGCGCCATCCCAAGACCTCCCCAAAACACTCATCGCTTATCGGCTCGCCACTGCCTTGCAACATCTTCCATCCTCACTTTCAAAATCCGCCTTCAGCGCAGAGATACGAGCTCATCACCAGCAATTCGTGTCTCTAATCGATAGCATAACCGCCGACGCCACCATGGAGACGGAGACCACAATACCCATCTCCTCAACAGATGTGTGTGACTTCTGCTCCGCACCCATACCCTTGAATGACCTCACTTGGGCTGCCTGCACAAACGGCCATTCATTCCCCCGCTGTGGTCTCAGCTTCCTTGCCATACAGGCACCAGGCATCACAAAGTACTGTGGTATTTGCAGCACACCATTTTTAAACGAGCCTTTTGTCGAAGCGCAGGAAGTCATGGACCCGGGAAAATCTGACAAGCCAAACGATCATGTCATTGCGAAGAATGGAACTCATGTAAGACCTGACCCGGCTTCAGATGGAAGTAATGTGATACGTGTAGCTGTGGCCGACGGGTCGACCCAGCAGGAGGGTGGTGGTTCAGATGGCTTCGGGGCAAGGGACAGGATGGAAAGAAATGTGGCTACAACAGAGGATGAACACGGTCTACTCATTACGTTGGCGAGAGTCTTGTTCCTTGCTTGCGATGCTTGTATCTACTGTGGTGGCAAGTTCGTGGGCTAAGTGGTCAGAGTGACGATTTGCTATCTCGACTCTGTATTACACCAAAGTCAGGGAAGGGAATACGACATGTTATAGCTTGTAAGCTAGAGGGAATGGGGCACGAGAAGATAAAAAAAACCGCTCCCGATGACTTGACTTAATGTGTGACCTCAGCTTTTGTGAACGTCCATTCCACAACTTGTGATATCATGCGCAAATAGCGACGGGGGGTATCATAATCATATAACACACATACACACACACATTAAACCACACATTGCAACCCACAAACTCCACCAAGCCCCCCCCCCCCAACCCCTTACTTTCTCTCCTTGGGCATCTTCTTCCCATCCCCCATCTTCCCAATACTACTCTCACTATGCATATGCGGCGCAACCTCGACCAACCAGTCAGCCTCGATCGGCAACACACTCCGTATATACGGCTTCGTGGTCTCGACCAACTCGGCAAACACCACCCACTTGGGGCGATTCTCAATCAGGCTGCTAGACGGGTGAATAAACACCGTCATGCCGCCATTACTCAGCGTGCGATAGCTCAAGCCATCGCGATTGGGGTGTCCGAACAGCCGGTTAGGAGAG